CGCATCCACCCAGCCTCCAGCTATGTTTGTGGGAGGAAGGCTACCTTTTCTTTATGGACGTTTTTCTTTTCGGTTGAAACAGGCCGGCTTTTTCACTGGACCCACAAAAGGCGAGAAACACTTCTTGCGGAGGGGTCCAAAGATCCCCAAAAAGAGAGTGGGATTTTCGTATTGGGTAGACAAAGCAACCATTTGCTTAAGTGTTTTTTCATTATATATATATATATATTATTATTATTATTATTATTATTATTATTATTATTATTATTATTATTATTATTATTATTATTATTATTATTATTATTATTATTATTATTATTATTATTATTATTATTATTATTATTAATAATATTATTAATTATTAATTATTAATTATTAATTATTATTAATTATTATTATTATTAATAATATGATTAATATTATTATTAATATGATTAATATTATTATTATTATTATTATTATTATTATTATTATTATTATTATTATTATTATTATTATTATTATTATTATTAGTCTTATTATTATTATTATTTCGCCTTGCTGGTTCTAAAGGGAATCTATCACTACTGGTCCTATTTTCTACTTTTTCCTGGGGCCTTAACCAAATCGAAGAAACTGCAAAAGGTGATTCACTTTTTGCGGACAGGTCCAAAGATCCAAGAAGACGGTGGGATTTTCCGTATTTTCCAAAATGGGCGGAGGGCGACCCGTTTTTGGGGAGCCGCGCAGGCGGTGGAAGGCGAGCTCCGTGGTGAGCTGAGCCGCATTGAGGCGAGCGGCTTGGTGCGGGGGTTTGCGGTACAAAACAATGACACACAACCACACGTATTACTAGTATGACTATTACACTATTTTTTTCTTCAAATAGTAGTAACTTTTTTGTTCAGAACACGCACACACACACACACAGGTGAGCCTTCCTCGCCGAGTTTGGAGCAAACCAGCCAAGCACCCACACACACACACACATGGGCTGATTGAGCAAGCAACACATCTTTCGGTCACCCAGCCAGTGAGTGTTATGTTTCTCACTTTGCTTAGTACCAAAGGTTGGACTGCCCTTATGTTTCGCTTAGCTGGAAAGCCACCCGGTTGCAGTATGGTTTGTTAGAGATCCATTTAGATGCAACAAAGTGTTAGAACAGAACTAATGCAATCCTGGCAACCAAACACCGGGAACATACGATTCACCGCGCCAAGCAACCGTTTCACTGATCATGAACATGGGTTTTGCTGGTGTTTTGTGGCGGAAAACGAGTCAACCAGCAAAAAGCCCTGGGGATGTCTGCGGGTTCGGCTCCGACTTCAGGCGGCAATCGCCCGTTCCGCCGCCTGCCCAGTGGGTTTTTTGGGTTCGGGGCGTCAAGCGGTCCCCCAACTGGGCCCAGTCGCAAAGAACCATTGGGTGGGCTCCCTTGCCTGGGCGCCTGCAAGGCTTTCTCCGCAAAGCTCGGGCCCCAAATTGTTGAGCAACTTTCGTTTGGCTCTGTCTCAAAAGGGGATGCCCCAAAATGCTTGGTCTGCCTTTGGGTTTCCTGTAGAACCACTTGAAAAGGCTACCTGAAAGGAAAATCGCACCCATTCGAGGCTTTCATGCCGATTCCGCAGGCCCTATCGCCCAAAGATGGTGATGAGGGCTCCAGCACCAGCGCGGGCGCCGGCATGCCTTAGATTCGTTAGTCGTTGTTCGGTGGGCTCGGGGTGCAAATAAACACAACAGCACATGTTCTTTGGGAGCTTCCCGTCCGAAATGGCGGCCCCAAACAGAAGCTCCAATTCTTTTCCTAGGGTGAAGAAGTGAGTGAAACTGAAGCTGACAGGTTTCCCCGTGTTTCGTTGTTTTGTAGCCCCCCAAGACGAGCAGCCAATTCCGCGTCCGTGAAGTTCCTTGGCAGGCGCGCCTGGAGGACCGCGCAAGCTTGACCAGAACGGTCCGATTTGTACCTGCCTTTTTGGTAGGGGCTGGGAAAGAACGACCTTGAGGCTTCTGGTCTGTCTCTCCGTCCGCGGCACGCAGGAAATGATCAACACGGCGCTGGAAAGGACAGCTTTGGCAGTCGCTTCGGAAGTCATGGGGCTGCAGAGTTTCCTGGGATCGCCAGGTCCGACATGTCAGCGGCTTTTTGTTCCACCTCAAGAGGCCCTCAACCATTTTTCAGCCGTGTAAAAAGATGCCGAGAGCGGCAGTTGCAGCTCAGGACGGATCATTTGGAGCAGAATCTCATCGCGGCAGCCAATGGGCCAGGGGCCTACGAGCATCGGCCGTTCCCAAGTTCGTAGCGGAATGGGAGCAGCTGACGGAGTGCACAGGACCAAAGAACACTCCCGGAGCCCAGTGTCAAGTGGCCCATGTGGAGCGCAGGTCTGTTGGAATACTATCTGAAGAACAGCATGTCTTTTTCTTCTTCCTGAATGAATGTGTGCTCAATTGCAGGGGTATGGACCCAACATCTACACACCTGTGCCATTTAGCCTATCCAGTGTCCCTGGTTCGCCATTTTTGTGCACCGTCTCCATGGTGGACCAAGAGGTGCTTGGCCCGCTGGGCGCGCCCGCAGGGGTCTGCCAAAGTGAGCCAGCCCACCCAGCTGTGCCGGAAGAAGACATTGAGAAAGACGAGCCCACTGAAGCAGTCCCACTTCTCTCCATTCCGAGACATATCCCCCGCCAAAAATAGGCAAGCTGCTGGGGATCCGGCAGCATCTGCGCAGCCCGGCTCTTGCCTATTGGGGCATTCCCAAAAACGCAAGGATCTGCATGCGCACGTAAGGCAGCGTCGCCAGCCTTCCGCATCCCCTCAAAAAACCTCTGGTCGTACTTGCTCCCTATGAGGCATTGAAACGAGCCTCGCCCTGGCACTCCTCCAAGTCGCCTCCACGGGTCAGGACCGCATCTCGGTGGCGGAAGTGCTTGCGCTGTACCGTCGCGCCTGGGAGTCTTCGAGCACGCCAGCGCAGTTGCCAGCTTGAGGGAAGCTCGCGCATGAGTGGAAGGGTACAACAAATGTGCCCGTGGCGGTCTCGTCAAAAAAGCGGTACCCAAAAGGAACCCTGGTAAGTGGAAACATGGACCAAAACCTGCGTCACTCCCCTGTTTAATTTTGAGCCACACCCATGACATACTGCACGGATCAGTTGTGGTCCAGCTCCCTGCCTGGGAATGTCTGACCCAGGCACAACTTCCAGCTGCCGGACCAGGCGGAACCAGGGGGCCTCGTATCCGAATCCAAGATGTGGAGCAGCCCCGAGACTTTGACTTGAGTGGGGTATGGGTCAAAACTAAACCACCAAAGTATGGACCGCAGCTGTCCTTGTTTCCATTCACCAGGGTTCAATTTCGTGGGTAGCTAGACACCATCACACTTTGTGAGTGACGCGCATGTTCGCCAGGCGCGGGAGGAGCTGCAGTCGCAGATCGATGACTTGAAGAGCCGCAGCACCAGCTGCGAGACCAGGCGCGGACATTTCTGGAAAAAAAGGCGTGGGGGGTGGGTGGTGTTTGGGCGTGGTGTTTGGGGATGGTGTTGAGGACGTGTTTTCTTGCGTGTGTGTGTGTGTGTGTTTTCCGTCAAGATCAGACTGTTTTGTTTTTGTCGAGCAGAGAAGTGGAGCAGGGAGGTGTGACAAAGACTCTCGGGGGGTGCTGGGCTAAGGTGTGACAAAGATCCAAAGGGATTCGTTTCCTGATAAATCGGTAGGAAGTTCGTGTGCTGTTATTTTTTTTGGCGGGAAAAGGTCAAGCTTTTTGTTCATGGTGTTTTGGGCAAGCTATTTCGTGGTGGAGACAGTGAAGATACCTCGTCCTTCTCATGGGTTCGTTGGCCTCCTTTCAACAGCTTTGTGCGGCCGTGTTGTTTGACTGAAGTGCCGAAGGAAATCACCGGCGTCCGAGGTACTGATTGTACGTGCAACACTGTGGGTGGACGAACTCCGTTCGCATCACCCCTAAGAAACTCTGGAGTGATGCTTCCACTACAAATGCCAACAAGCAGAGGTTTCCGATGGTTTGCAGGATTTTGTCCACCCACAGTATTTGCATCAAGGTCAATCTTCCACATCTAGGGCAGGCAAATTTCTAACTCGCAGCGGCTTCCATTCATGCGACGAGTAATTTGCCATGTTGAGATCTCCGTGGATATTGGTTTCATTGGTAGATCTTTCGTTGTTGATTTTTGCTCGTGCTTGTGGTAGGGGCAACCAGCCAAAACATAAGAGACGTGGAGCAGTTCTGCTTCTGAGACACGACCAGTGAGACGCAGGGCGTGGGGCAATCAAATCCTGGGTAGATCAAGGTTAGTAGGGCCAGTTCCAAGCCGATTCTTTACGATGGCGTTTGGGTAGTCTCCTTCAGTACCGCTTCGATTACATCTCAACAGGGAGCCAACCGCCAATTCCGAGATGCAGCCATGTGTCGCGTTGCTTTTCCTTTCGACATCTTCTCCTTTTAGTTCTCCTTGTGGTCCTCCTGTCGGTTTTGGTTTTCCTTTCGTTTTTTTCCTCCGGTTTTCCTTTCGTGTTGTTTTTTTCCTTTTGGTTTTCCTTTCGGCTTTCTTCTCTTTTGGGTTTTCCCTCCCGGTGGTGGCAGTTTTTCTCGGGAGGCTGCTTCAGGAGCTGGCGCGGGTCTCGGAGGCGGGATCAACTCTGGCCATCCTAGTCTGACACTTGAGACCGAGACCATGGTTGAAATGGGTGACCCTGTTGTAAGAGATGGCCTCACAGTGGGTCCAAACATTGAATATGGCGCAAGCTGCATCACCGTGGCTGTTGTCGGGCCCCGGCAGCCAGCTCCCAACTGAACAAGGAACGGCCACCCTTGGGTCGCACCCGGCTTTTGCATTGGCTTTCGTTTGAAAACCAAGCTTCGTCAGTCAGGTCTGAGAGTCTTAATTCGTCTAGGTCTTCTAGGTCCCCCACTACTGCCCGTTTTTTGGGGGGAGGGTCCCCTACTAAAATAGTTGGGTCTCTTGCATCGGCATCGATGCGCTGTGATTTGAGTGCCTGTGCCAGGCACCAGTCGGCTCAATGGTTTCAGCCCCAATTTTGGGAGTCTTCAGCGCCAGACCGGAGCGGTTTGGGCGCCATGGGACTTGTGGATGGGGTGAAGCACAAGGTGAGCGAGTACAACCAGGCGATTTCGAGCGCTCAGACTCCCAAAGCCGCGCTGCGGATCTTGGCGCGGCTCAGGTGGTGGCGCCTGGAGCCCACGGTGGTGACCTTCAACAGTCTGGCGGCGGTGTGCGGCCGACGGGCCTGGGAGGAGGGTTTACACGTCCTGGGCCAGGGCCGGGCCCGAGGTCTGTGCGACCTGGTCTCCTACAACACCGCGGCGGCGTGGAGCTGGAGGTTGGCTCTGGACTTCTTGAGCCAAGGCCTGGAGCCGGATGTGGTGACCTACAACTCCTCCATGGGCGTGGAGTCGGAAGCTTGGAGCCGAGCGCTGCAGGTGAGGGCGGAAGTTTGGACTAGGGGCCTCCAGCCCACAGCAGTGACTCATAACGTGGCCATCAACGCGTGCGCCAAGCACTGCTGGCGAAATGCCCTGCTGATCTTTGAGGAATTGCAGGAGGAGTCCCGAAGTGATGCTACCTCCAAGACCTACACCGCGGTGATGGGTGCGTGTGTGACCAGCGGCAGATGGCAGCCTGCGCGTGAACTCCTGGAAGACATGCGGGCGGCGCGCATGTCTCATGGGTCAACCCATACCTTGGCCATCGACGCATGCGGCAAAGCTTCTGAGTGGCAGCAGGCGCTGGGCCTCCTTTTGGGCATGGAAGCCTTCGGCCTGCCGCAGAACCTGGTTGCCTTCAACGCCGCCATCAACGCATGCGCAGAGTCGAGCCACTGGCAGCATGCGACCTTGCTTCTGGAGGAGATGAAACGGAAGACTCTGCGGAGTGACGCCATCACCCAAACGTCTCTTACGGATGCCTGCGCGCAGGCGCAACAGTGGCAGCATGCCATGTCCTTAGTTGTGGAGGCCCAGGTGCTGACCCTGGGGGCCAATAAGATCCTGAACAACGCCGCGATGAGCGCATGCGAGAAAGGACTCTGGCGACAGGCAGCACTGCTGGCATTTCCCAAGCCCACCAGGTACGGTTGCAACGTCCACATCAGTGCTCTGGGCAGAGAGGAGCACTGGTCCAGGGCCCTACAGAGTTTGCACACCTTGTCACATGGCCGCACTTAGCCCACCCATTTTTCTCCAATATTTTCCACTTTGTTCCTCAGGGCTCCATTCTTCCCATTTCCCCGCCTTTTTCGCGCTTCCTCGTTTTTTTCTTTTTGTTTTGCTCCGCCGTTGTCCGATAGGTCGCAGCTGCGGCTCCAGTCGGACGAGGGGAGCTGCGTGCCGGTCCTGGCGTGCCAGGCCTGGCGCCGCGCGCAGCGCCTGCTGGACGCGCCGCTCCTCCGCGCGGCGCTAGGCGCCTCGGGCGCGGCGCGCAACGCGGTGGTCAGCCGCCTGGCCAAGGGCGGCGAGTGGCGGCGGGCGCTGCAGGGCCTGGACGCCAAGGACGCCTTGCAGCCGGATGAGGCGGGGTGGCGAGGGAGGTGTTTTATGGACTGGAGGTTTTCTTTGGGTTGGGAAGGGGGAGTGAGACAGGGGGGGGGTGGGCTTTGGCCTGTGGAATGGGCTGATGTCAGGATCGGCCTGGGTGGCTAGGGGGGGTTGATTTGAATGTTACGTGAGGCTCAACCCTGAGGTGACCTTCATTTGCAACATCAGGGCCGAGAAGGCAAGGTGGCAGAGGGTTCTCTTGCTGCTCCAGGCGCAAGACTTCCAAAGCACCGAGGTGTTCTCCGCCTGCATTTTCCAGATCTCTGATTGGCGGGTCAGCTTGATACTCCTGGAGGACATGACCAAGCAAAGGATTTGGCCGGATGATTGGACCATGCACACGGCAATTCGCACCTGCTCCTTGGCTGCCTCGGCCCTCTTTGCAAAGCATGTCCCTTTTGGTTTCCACGTGAACGGGGAGAGGCTGCTGAAAGGGGGCTCAAAGGAAGGATCTGAGTGGTCACAAGGGTGCCCTGTCCGAACATGTCATGGAAGGCCACTCTTTACACAGGTTTCTCAGTATGGAGATGAGTGAGCTGTTCATCTCCCCCCTTCATGTTCTTTTTTGTGACCGCGGTTTCCGCTATGGTGCGTTCTTTTAGAGAAGGATTCCTCCCAAACTTGTACCCTCTCACCAGCTAACATGGAAGTGCACAGACCCCTGTAGAAAGCCTACTTTCCTCTTGGAAAGGCTCTCATTTTGCACTTCCATGTTGGTTGGTGGGAGGGTACCCCTTTTTTTTTCTTCCCTCAAGCGGCTCCTTCCCCCGGCGGCGAAACGAGTGAGTCGGGTTCTTCGCTCCGAGGCACGCGCTGGGAGCAAGTGCTGCGGCTGGTGGGCCGGGCTCCATCGGAGCGGGTCATGGAGTTGGCCATCGAGGTGTCATGGGGGCTTTGGGGGGGTGGGGGGAGGGGTGCCATGGACGCTTCGAGTCAATTTTGCAGCCGAAAGAATCGTGGAAAACCAAGACCCTGAATGAAGGAGGTTGCAAAATAGACCCTAAGTGCCCAGGGGGCGGGGGGTCGGGGCAAGCGGGGCAGGGGTGGAGGGGATTTTTCTCTTGGTGAGGATTCTTTTATTTGGCTCTTCTTGGGTTTTGTTTCTGAGATGTCGACCTTTGTTAACGGCATTGGGGGGCGTTGAGCGGGGGGCTGGCTCGGGACGAGCAAGCGAGCAGAAGATTTGTTGATTTGCCACACGTCAGCGAGGCAAATCATCAAATGGCAGGTTCTGGGCAGCAAGAGCGGTTCTTCCCACGTTCCTTGTTATTAGGAGTCCTCTTTTTGGGTAGATAGTTTAAAAACGGATGGCACGGGTTTAGACGGGTTTCATTTCTTACCAGAGCCATCTATTTGTCCAAAAGGGCACCTATGCCCTCCGTGCCAGCGAGGCGCTGATGCAGGGCGACCGCCTCGGCCAGTCGGCGCCTGCAAAAAGATCTGTTGGCGGGCCGGGTGTGTGTGAAACATGTGGCCGTGGGTCAAAACCAATGGGATCTCATTTTGGCGTTTTCGGTGGTGAATTCACCACCCATGTTTGGTCGGGATTTTAGTGGGGATTTGGGATTCTCACTGGGGGTACGATTTGGATTTTGACCCACAGCCATGTGGACAATTTTCACAGATGTACTTGTTCCCCTTGGCTTCTAACAAGCAAACGGGTACCCAAAGAAGACACATCTGTGTACCTGGTTGTGTCTCAGGCAAATGAGCCAGAGGCAATGAGCAACTTGCTTCGCAACAAGTTTGGGCCCTGATCTGATTTTGCTTGGGGACCCTTTGATCAACATCATATTCAGACAATTCATGTCCACCAAATATGCGCCAAAAACTAGGCATCCCATCCAAAGGATCCGGAGACATCTTCTTGCGGAGCCTGCACAACTGAGTCTTTGAGATTGCAAGGAGGCTTGGTCACGCTATAAATGGAGACTAAGAACATCATTGGGTTCTCCCATTCCACCACTTCTGCCAAGTGTGTGTAGCAGCTCGCACCATGTTGCACCTGTTGACTGAATTGGGGTTTCGCACAATTTCCCCTTGCTCGCGACCCCTCTGGTGTTGATATCCTCTTGACCGCCTTATTGCCATCGATCTTTGGTGGATGACAACTCTCTTGGAGAGCCCTTCAACACCTTTGAATCCTGGACAGAGCATGTCAATCGCTGGATGCCTGTCTGGAAACGCATTGTTGCTGAGGTCATCCACCGGTTCATGAGAGAGAAAACCCCGCGTGCCGGTTGGTGAATGTTTTTTTCATTTTGCCAGGCGATGCGGCCGCAAAGCAGGGAGGAGGCGTGCACGGAGTTGTCCACTGGGACTCTGAGACCAAACCAACTCGTTACGGCCGCTGAGGCAGCGCCGCATGAGCCGTTCCGTGTTGGCCGCATTTTAAGCAAACGGTGCCAAGAAGAGTGCCTGCTTTTGATATCCAGTTGTGTGGAAACGGAACAACAGGGCGGCCCCAGCTTTGTGGCCTGTCTGGCTACCATGTTCTTCTGCTGTCCGAATGTAGGTCCGATGTACCCTCCCACCAATTCACATGGAGCCTGATGTTCGGGGGGTCCTGATTCGGGCCATTTTCCTTTTAAAGAGACCATTTCCCAACGTCAGGTTCCGACTGTAAAAAGGGTGATTCTCTGTAGTGAACCTGGTAAATGCCCCCAAAGGAAACCACCAGTTGGAGGGTTTTTGTAGGGGTGATTCCATGTAGAAAGGGTGGCAGGGTAAACCTCGGATGAATCTGTCTTGTGCCCCTTTCTCTCCATTCGCTACGCCAGGCGCCTGAGCCCAAAGACCAGGCCCGGCATGGCGGGGGAAGTGGAGCCTCGTTTTTTTGTTTTTGTTTTTTGCGAGCGTGGGTTTTATCAAATAGCAACATGCGAAGCGTTTGTTAGTATTGTCAATCTTGAGCTTGCTATTATTTTTTTTTATTATTATTATTAGTATTATTACTATTATTATTATTGGTATTGTTATTGTTATTATGATTATGATTATTATTATTATTATTATTATTATTATTATTATTATTATTATTATTATTATTATTATTAGTAGTAGTAGTAGTAGTAGTAGTAGTAGTAGTAGTAGTAGTAGTAGTAGTAGTAGTAGTATCTTCTTCTGCTTTTTTTGTAATCACCGTTGCTGAAGCTGAATGCACAGTTTGGTGCTTGAAAGTAAGTGGCACCTCTTTCTCCCAGGGGTTCATGGAGATGTCGGCTTCGAAGAGGCCAGGTGCCCTTCAGCAAGCCTCAAATCGAGCAAAGATAGCGAGATACATTTGCATGGGGAAGACCCTCAAAATTGGTTGGCGAGGTTTGTCCTGCAAACTCTCAACAGCGGCGGACCCCCAAAACGGAAAATCGTGTTTTTTTTCATTTGTTGGGGTCTCTCAGGGCCTTTTGTTCAAGAAAAGGTGAACATACATCCCCCAAATGAGAAGGATGATGTAAACCAATACTCATCCCCGTTTGGGCGCTTCAACACGCGACCTGGGAAGTAAACCAGCTTTGAAGTGCCAACAAAAAAAGTGGACCAAAAAGAACCAGCCCATTTTTAGAGGTTCCCAAATTTGGAGAACCTCCTGCTCCCCTGAAGAAACCCTGGTTTCTGATGATTCCCCTGGAAATACCAACAAACAATGGTTTCAACCATGGCTTCAAAGTGCTGGTCAACCTACATGGATGAGGCCAATCCCAAAAAAAAACATTTCAAAGTGGTGCGATGTCTGGATTTCCGCAACCAGCCAGCCACAGTATGCTCCGTCATGCCAACCTGGGGGGCTCCCCACGAGGTGCGGTCGGTGCCGGCGGCTCTGCGGGGCATGGTGCTGTCAGCGCTGCCGGTGCCGGGGGCCCCCAAATCGAGAGGCACCCAGGGCGTGCCGGAGGTTTTTTTGGATCGGTATATATAACGACCTTGCTTGTTTGGTGGGTTGGATTTGTTTTTCGGTTATTTTGGGGCTGGATTTTCTTGGGTCTTCTTCTTTTGGGGGGGTTCCGAGCCATTTCCCGTTTTCGGAACCTCGAACAGTGGCGATCGTTTTCATGGAAACCGCCAGTACGTTGATCAACTTTTGGAGGGGAAATCCTGTGGCCTTGTTTAAAGGCAGCAGGGAACCCGCCTTTGTCACATGGAGCACTCGTTAGTGTTCAGCAAACAAAGTAACATGCCCAAAGTCCGATGAAACTTCATAGTAAAAATTGGATGAAAAGGTGAAAGAGGCAGTGAAGTTTGCCGTGGCGAGCGCAGTGTCCGGAGTGGAGAGGCCCTCGCTGTTGTTCAATTTCAGCTGCGCAGTAGTCGGCAGTGCCATGCTCACCGAGAAGCCGAAGCAGGTTCCGCTGACCGACGCAGCTGAGGTGGAGCGCCTGCTCCGCCGCTACCGCTCCGAAGTGCTCGACTGCCATGGGCGGGATGACTTGGAGAAGATCTTCGGTGACGTGCGGGTGGAGTTCGTCGGCCACGGCTGCCAATTCGACGCCTTCCGCCTGCGCTGCGCGGACTCTGCGGACTTCCTGCTGCGCACGCCGCGGAGGAGCCTGGATCGGAGTCTCTGTTTGTTCGACCGGGAGCTGGCGATTCTGGCGCTGCTGCAGAAGGCCGAGGAAGTGGCTGTGCGGAAGTCGTGCGGCGTGAGCATCGCTGCGCCAAAGGTGTACAACGTGGTGAAGGACGTGGGCAACGGCACGGCGTTCGGAGTGTACGACTGGGCGGAGGGCACGGATATGCATAGCTATGGCGGCACAGACACGTTCTTCCAGCTGCGGGATGCCTTCTATGGCGAGCTGGCGCGGTTCTTGGCGTGCCTGCACAGTCTCCCGACGCGTTGGGGCTCGACGGAAGAGTGGCGGCAGCTCGCGGGCGCGGCGCAAAACGGTACCGTCGAGCTGCAGCGCGTCTGCGTGGAGCAGATTCTCGAGTGGCTGATTGGCAAAGTGGCCGCTCTCAAGAGGGAATACGTCCAGGGCAAGCCTGGCGCCTGCGAGCAGGAGCTTGACGAGCAGTGGCGGCTGATCGAGCGCGTGCAGCAGTGCGTGGCGGAGGAAGTGGCGCCTTTGTACCAAGTGCACAGACAGAAGTACCGTCCGCAGTGCGCCAAGGACGGGCTGTGCGCCGTGGCCCTGATCCACGAAGACTTCCACGCGAAACACTTCATCGTGGCGCAGGGGTCAAAGCAGCGGGGCGTCTTCGATGGCGAGAAGTGGCTGGCCGTGTCGGCGGTGGTGGACTGGAGCGACCCCGCCCTCGCGGACATCGCCGTGGACCTCAGGGAGTTGTGGCAGTGCCCCAGCAACTTTGCGCGCCACGGCGATGCGGACTTCGTGCCTCACCTCGGCTGGATCGAGGAGTACTTGAAAACCAGGCGCTCGCTGGAGAAAAGCTTCGACATGTGCGAGCTGTGCTTGGCGCAGCTGTTGCACAGGTGCAACGTGTATGGCTTCAAACTCTGGTGCCTGCATGCAGACACCGACGAGTTGGCGCTCGCTGTTCCTTGCGTCCTCGCGTCTCTCCGCGCCATGGGCAATTGCTTTGTCGATGTCTAACTCGATCGCTTTCTGTAGTGTTTGCCTGCTCCGCGAACAGAGACGTAGTCAAGTGAGAAAAGAAGATCTGCACACTGTGTCCCAAAGGACAGCCCGATCCAAGCTCGCTTCTCTTCACTCGGCGCTGCCGGGGTGATCAAAATTGCCCCTTGCGGAGCTGCAGCGTCTCTAAGCGCGAGGTGGTGGGATGTGTTGTTTTGGGGATTGGGCAGCTGTCTGTGGCCAGATGGGGCCAAGACCGCATGGCAATCCTGCATGGTCCTGGGCTTCCTTTTGGTTTGTTCACCGATCAACGCAAAACATGGTTCTTACTTTGATTCATGCCCATTCCCACTCTTGGATCTTTGGACTTGAACTTTTTGGGTTTTCCAGTGAACCCCCAACAAGTTAAACTTTTTGCAGGGGGGTCCTGCCAGCAACCAAGCATTGAGCAATTTAAACTAGGAATACCCGCCCAAATGGTTGGTGCACATCGAGTTCCTTACCGCTGGAGCCTAGGCCAACCGGCAGGCGCAAGGCGCTGGTCATCGGCTGTGGCTACTTCGAGTCGTGGCGGCCTCATTCGGTTCCGACGATAGAGGCCTTCGTGTGTCTTTCTACGGGCGCGCCGCTGGCCTGTTGTGAGGGGATGCCCCCTTCCCTCCCCCCAAATTCCCCGGTTTGCATCTCTTTGGCTCTCCTACAAAAGATGGGTATTTTCAAAACGCAGACAGACCTATATTTGGGTATGTGGTTTTTTTGGGGCACCCTTTTTGGGATTGGTTTGCAGGGAACCCGAAAGTCGGTTCTTAGGGTCCAAGTCCGAAGCCGAAGCCGAAGCGAGGTCGATGCCGCTGGCTGGGGCCATGAACGATGCCTGGAATGCCGCGCAGCCAAAGAGCACTGGCGGGTTGGGGGGCTCCAATTGGAGCATATGGGTTTCTAAGAGCATATTTCGGTGCCGGAGATTGTTCAGCTGTTTGTGCGGGGTTTGTTGATGCGTCCCTTTTTTCCTGGCTGGTGCGTGTTTTTGTTCTCTTTGCCGCATGGCGTTTCGCTTTGCGACACTTTGGTTTGCTTCTTTCACTTCGGCTTTTTCCCCGCCCACCTTGTGTTGCATCCTTTTCGCCGGGACTCGATGAGAATTTTCGTGCCTTGTGACCAGCGAGTTGGATGCCTCGCTTCACCTTTGAAGGTCCGATCGGTTCCCTGGACTCCGAAACGCCGGCTTTGATTCAATGTCCGTTTGGGCGTGTCTCTCTTTTTTTTTTTGAGGGTACCCTTTTCGAGTCTATTTTGAGGCGAATCCATTTGGCAGTTTGTTGATTCCCTTTTGGATTCCTTGAATAATCTTCGGGACGCTTTGATTCGTACAGTCAATACATCCGGATAGTGACCCCCACAGGGGATTTTTTGGACCACCCGGGTCGCTGCTCAGGCAACCCTAAAACATTGGCCCCCTAAAACAATGGTGCAGTGAGGTCCATCCCGTTGCACTCGAAACACCCGGAGACCAAGATTCTGGTGTTCAAAACACCCTATGTTTCTAGGGGTTGATTCCCCATTCTTTTCGATCATCGTTCTTTTCAACAACCGGATCCGTTTTCATTTGGTTTCCGGAGGTTTTCCAGAAACAAGGATCCCTGGAAAGAACGGAGAATGGTGGTACTGTGGATGGACAAAATCCTGCACCACCTAAGAAACCCTGGAATGATGATTCACCTGTAAATACCAACAGACAATGGTTTCCCATGGCTTCAAAGTGGTGCGAAATGGATTTCGTCCATCCACAGTAGGGATGGTGAACCCACCAAAAATGGGGTTGGACCACCAGCAGGGTTTCTTATGGAACCCCTGGGCTGCCCGATGGTTGCCAGCCCATCGCGAGGTGCTGAGCCTCTTGCGGCATACGCTGCAGTTCCCGGAGAGCCAGGCAGCCTCAATTCAGGGACCACCTAAGCCTAGGCACCCCGACAAAAAAACCGAGAGGAAACGAGAAAAACCGAGAGGAAACGAGAAAAGGAACCCTAAGGAACCCGAAGGGGAGCAGCGTAGAGGCAAGGAACCCTGAGCGACTCTTAGGTGAGAACTGAACGCGCTGGGCCAATTTAGAGACATCTGGGGCGATAGACCCAACCGCGTACGCTCAAAAAAGACGCACCCGTTTGAACTTTCAATGGATTCCGATGATTTCAGTTTGGTTCCAATCCGTTACCAGGCGATTTTCCGACATAGAAAGAAGACACACAATAACAACCCCTTGGTATGGTACCAAGGGGCCAACGGCCTCCCTTGAAGTGAGGAAAATTCGTCGCGAAGGCCTTGGAAGCGGTACAGAGGTGCTTGAGCCAAGTTCGCGCCTCGAGGCTTTGAATCTTTGAGCCTCAGCATTCCACCTCACTTTGGCTTATGAACCCCAAGCAATGTTCAAATCGCAACACCCTTCCTCACCCCCCCACCTTGCCCCCACCTTCTTTTGGTTGACTGCAACCCGCCACTACCCCCCTACCACCCCCCCCCCCCTCCGGCTCCACTTCCAGCCCCAGCCACTCGCCTACCCGCAAGGTGCGGTTCCTGGTGGACGGCACCCGGAGCTGCCCCATGCCGGTGCAGCGCCGGCCCACCGCGCAGACCATCGCGGAGAGCCGCTCGGCGTCAAGCGAACGAATCTGTCGGTTGGGGTTGGGTGTTGGGTGGGGGTGGTTGTGTGAGGCTGGGTGGGGCGGGGTGGGGGCAGTTGGGTGGGGGAGGCTGGGGTGGTGGTTTGCAAGGAGCACCAGGTCAGGACACTGCTCATTTGGATGGGGGCCCACCTATGTTAGCAAAGGAAGGACACATTTCAAGAGCCGATAATGTGTGTCTGTGGGTATGCACCCTTGCAGGCTCCAAAGTGTGTACTTACGTCACATGATTCACTGGTATACATAGATGGTCGAGTTCCTTGAGATACATCAGGGCGCACCGACGGCACATGACAACAGTTTGAGGCTTGCAGTGGCTGACCCACGATGCGCAACCTGGCGACCAGCTCTTCCTCTACTACGCAGGCGGCATTTCCACGATTTGCGCGCGGTTTTGTATTACTCGCCCAGTTGCATTCTCGAGCTTGAAGTGTTGCACAAGGAGTTTGCTTGGGCTTGTTGTAGCTGATAGTTGACGAAATTTCGGCGTGAGAAATTTGGGATCCCCTTTTAGATCAGTTTGATTAGAAGTAGATGATTAGATGGGTTCCACTGGTTTAGCTTGCTTTTTCCATTTAACGGGGTCATCTATTTTACCAAAAGGAGATGGGTTCCACGGGTATATATTAGTTTTTGCTGCCATCCATTCACGCAAACCCCATCTATTTTGCCAAAAGGCCAGTGGACTCGGTTGCAGTCCATCGTGAACTGACCAGAGTGGCTTTTCAGGCTACGGCTTGCTGCTGCCACATGGCCCGGGGCTCTGGCGTGTGAAAGCTCAGAATACCTAATGACACATTCCTCTTCCTCTCCATATCTATGTATATATCTATCTACATACACATAATATTCTCTCCTTTGTATTCCTCTCTCGGGGGTACATGACAAGTTCATTTTGTGTGTTTTCCTTTGTATTCCTCCCTTGACAGGCGGATAATTTCAAGAAGCCCTGTGAGAAAACTTTGGGCTCCGACGCTGTTGGAATCGAGGTGTGGGCTCCTTCGAGTCTTGCCTCGTGCCCATCGACTTCGCAGTGGGCGCCCCAGGGGCAGTGCGAGAGACGCGCAAGGTGAACCGCGATGCGGATGTGGTCCAGTTGTCACGTTCCCCTTCGCAACGGATTCGTTTGGACTGCTGGTTGTTTTGTTTGGATTTGAACGGGTCCCTGGTTGATGGTGGATGCGAAACCGCCTCCAAACCACCAAGCCAAACCGATCAGCGGGAAGCATGATTTTGCCTCTAGGATTGGGTCTCCTTTGGAGAGGGGCGAGTCGGGCAAGGTTGCACATGATCAGAATGGCGAGTAATCAACCCGAGCTTCTGTCGGCCATCGCACGCGTTGGGACCGTGCAGCACTGAAAGCGATGCGAACCCTAGAAGTCCAAAATGAATAAGGAGCACCGTGCAACGGCCCATCTTGAGTGCATGGTCTTGTTACATTGGACCTTGCGGCGAAAGCAGGCTTTTGGGCACTTTGGCTTGAAAGGGAAGCCAAAATGGACACAACAACCAATAGGCCTCTCAGTTGCCTGCCTCAATCGTCTTCCTACTTTGACGGGGCATGGAATGTCGATGTCTTGTTTTCGTCTTGTCAAGGGACTGCGATGTGGCATTCCCGTTTCTGACTTCCATTTGGCTTGGGACATGTTATTTGTCCCTGCCATTTTCAAGGGAAGCTATCACTGGTGGAAGTATGTAAACATCTTCCACGGGGCGCAGATCGAACAGTTCTGTTGGGTGCCCGCCCCAAGCAGAAGTGCCACCCGAAACTTAGCCCCCCCTCCATTTAAACCACTCCGCAGAAGCCGACTGAGATCCACGACTCGAGGCACACCTAAAATCAAGGACCTGGGACCTGGGGACCTGGAATGAAGACCTGGGACCTGGGACCCGGGACCGGTTGCGTCCACTTTGGAAAGCCCAAGGCGACCTGCGGAAAAAAAAAAAAACGCGTCCCTGAGGCGACTGGCGAGTCTTTCCCTTCGCATCCGGCGCTTCTCGGCCGCTCGCGGTTTGAGGCTATGGCTGCGGAGACTTCCGGGTGTGGGTACAGGCCTGGGAATCGCGGTGACCGGATCCTGGCAGAATAGCGTTCTTCGGTTTTCCTGTTTTCCTTTGAACCCACCGCAAAAGGGTACCCCCCCAAAAAGACACTTCCAAATCCTGGTGATGTCCTTCCTATTTGCCCTTTCAGGATATGTTTTGTTCTTTCCGCTTGGTTTGGAAGGGAAATCCATCGCCAGTGGACATGTTTTTCATTTCTTCCATGGCGCTTAAGCAATTGGAAGGTGCTTAATGGTTGTACTCTGTCAGCTGTGGCACGGTGGTTTTGTTCTTGGCTACATAAGTGATCTGAGATTTGCTGGGGAGGCTTGGATTCCTGGATCCTGATGGTAAAGAAGCTACTCAACAGCGCGTTGCCTCCCCCCACCCATAGAGGGAAGACTGCTTTGGGGCTGTTTTCGGGAAGACGACAAGAACAGCCCGCTTGGGCGCTTGGCACTTCACACCCGAAATTCCATGTCACACCCTAGCTGCAGGCCTTGTCACTTGGGTGCAGACATCCGTGACCAGGAATTGTCATTGTTTCCAGTCATCGCTGCATGAGACTAGAGGCCTTTCCCAAATTCCAACCTTAAAGTAAGCCTCGGGATGAGTTCTCTAAAGCACTGTTGGGGGCTTAGGTGTCCTTTTTGTTTTTTTTGTTAAACAAATGGATGGCACTGGTTTAGACGGGCTTCATTTCATTTACCAGGGCCATCTATTTGTCCAAAAGGCCACCTATGGTTGGGGGTGGTTTCCCTTCAAGCCACCAACAGCCTAATTTCGAGGACGCCGCTTGAATGAACCCAGTGGGAGGCTGGTGCCCCTGCTGGACGTGTCCATGGCGCTTTCGCGGCTTCCACCTGCATGCGTGAACCTCAGAGGCATGTCCTACTGTGGGTGGACGAAATCCATTTCGCACCACTTTGAAGCCATGGTTGAAACCAGTGTTCGTTGGTATTTACAGGTGAATCATCATTCCAGGGTGTCTTAGGTGGTGCAGGATTTTGTGCACCCACAGCATGTCCTACGTCTCACCTGCCCAAAGCCGACTTGTTGACCTTTTGGTGTTCCCAGCTGGGTCCATCTTAAGTTGAGGTTACCAAGGGCTAGCCCTCCATTTCTTGTTGCTCCTTAGGCAAGGGGGAGCTCCAGAGATCCCAGGTCTGGGAACACTTTCCCCAGCTCAAGTGCCTGGAACCAGAGCGTTGATCCCCAGAAAGCCGTGCCAGGGCCTTTTCTTACAACCAAGTTTGAGGATCAGGGCCCAAGAAGTTTCAACTGCTCCTTTTGGTTTGCTTTCAGTTTCCCTTTTTTTAAAGATTCCTTTTGGATTTGTTTCGGATTCCTTCTAGATTCCCTTTGGATTCCTTTTGACTTGTTTTGGTTCCCTTTGGTTTCCCTTCGGTGCAACTCGAGGCAAAGTCACCGTGGTGCTGGATTGCTGCCACGCCGCTTTGCCGGGTCTAGGACTCGCCCGCCTGTCCGGGAAAAGGGCTAGGCTGGTTCAGGCCCATAAGAAGTTCCCCGAGCTGATAACTTTGGTGCATTTTGCCAAGGGATGTCAGGACTTTAGCTTTTTGCCAACTAGTGGGCTTTCCATTAAACCACTAAAAGCTGAACTTTTAGCAGGGGAGCAGAAAGCAACCGAGTAAAGTAGCATTCACCGGAAGGGTCATTTTCCGGAAACATTTGCACACCCCTTTTGGGTCTCGCCCACAGCCATGTTCAGCGCTGTTCTCCTTCCAGTCAAGGGACAGGTCAGGTGCAAGGCGTTTGACTTCAAGAAAGGGATTCCACGGTGCCCCCCTGCCACCCCCCGTCCCCCTCCCTCCGTGCTTAATAGCTGAACATCGAGCGGTCGCAGGATCCAAGCCGCAGCCAGCAGTGTTTCAGTGGGTCGCCGACTCAGCCTTGCTCGCTATCATGATTTGGGTGCTGGATAGCTTTGATCTTCCCGTAGGGACACAAAAAGGGTATGCTTTTCTGTTAAGCAATTGGGTTTTCAGCAATTGACAGGATCACAAACTAACTTCCTTTTCGTGGATTTGGGCAATACATGGGAGGACTACCTGATTTCACTAGAAATAATAAGGGGACTGACCAGTTGTTCCGCCTCCGCCGCGTTTGGGAGAAGAAGCCTTCCGCTTCTCGGTTGTTAACCGAGGCCCAGATGCAGCCCCCGGCCTTTGCCGGCTTGGAGGAGGCTGCGGTATTGGAGGGGTGCAAGAGTCGAAACTTGGGGCGTCAAATTCTCGACCTCAGGGTCTTTGGACCGTGAAAAGGGTTGCTGGCAGGCAACTCGATGCGAGTTTTCCCGTTTGAGTGGATGTTGGCTGTGTCAACATGGTTGCGTTAGTAAGATGGGGTATACCCCCCAATAAGTGAACCAGTCGGAGACATTCTTCATCCTGGGCTCCCAGAAAAACGCAACGAAATCGTTGCAGCAAGGTCAAAACATTGCGACTATTCATCCACAGAACCACTGGGCTCCCAGCAAAACCCATCTGTCACGTTTCTTTTGACCAGGGTCCTCCGATTCCGAGGCGGGGGTTGGCTTCGATCCCCGCGCGCGACGGCTGGCCTGAGCCTCGGTGTCCAAGCGTCTGGCTGGAATGGCTGGCTTGGCTTTGGACGTAACTCCCAGGAAGTCACTACCATACTGTGGATGGACGAAATCCATTTCGCACCACTTTGAAGCCATGGTTGAAACCATTGTTTCTTGGTATTTACAAGTGAATCATTCCAGGGTTTCTTAGGTGGTGTTGGATTTCGTCCATCTGCAGTGGCACCTGTGGGAGGGTACCTGGAAGATCAATTTCCTCTTGAAGGGACCCTTCCATGTTGGTGGGGGGGGGGAGGGTAGCCCAGAGCTTTCGGGTAAAGGGCTCGGTAAAATGGGGCTGGGGGGGTGGGAAGATCCTGATGTCCGAAGTGTCCCTTTTGACTGAGCCCATTGGGCTCAATCAAAAACCCTGCGACGAATGGGGAGGAAACTCTGAAAATTCCGGAGTCAGGGGGATTCCCTCAAGTGACAGGAGACGGTTTCGAGGCCGAAGCCCAGGCCCTTCTGTTTCTGGGTCAGAGCCATCTCTGGGGTCACCCCCTTCACACTAACATGGCACCTGACAGGGGATCCATTGGAAAGGAAATTGATCTTCCAGGCACGCAAATGCTGAGTTAGTGGGAGGGAAGGGTAAGGCCTTGGGAAAAGCCATCCGTCCGCACGACTCCTGCCTGGCTTGCGGGGAAACCAAAACCCGACTGAGGTGCTACCAAGCGTCCCGCTCAGCGCGCAGCGGGCGCCTGCACAGGCAGCTCGAAGGGCCCGGAGGGTTCTATGAATGAAGGAACCACCAAACTAGGTGGCTCCAGAAAGGGGGCCCAAGAAGACATTCCCCAGTTGCAAACCTAGGCTTTCGACCAACTGCGGGCCACAGGACCTGGCCATGTTGAACGTTGGGAAAGTGGAACGATTGCAACCCAGTGACTATTGGGGAGCTGATCAATGACCATGGGCCAGGGTTTCCCGTGTCTCCCGCTTATGGCTCTGAATCATTGAAGGGAGGACGAGAGGGGATCCACCGAAAACTGAACCACAGTCACAAAAACCTATATTGAAATCACAAGAACCAGCCCCCCAAAGAAACAATATCCGCCGCAAAGGGTTCTGCAAAGGAAACCTGGGTCCCTCATGTGAACCCATTTGAACATCTGGCAAGGTGATGCTTGCAAGACACGGACGCCCAAGTCGCGCGCTGTTGGACTGACCTCTGCGACCGAAAGCAGCGAGGTGCCCAACTTCAACTGCGCGCTGACCTGCTACGCCGCCTGCCACCAGGCGAGTCGCCGAGTGCAATGGGATTTTCGAGGCATCTCGTTGTTTGGGTTTGTTTGAAGCTGCACGCGGTGTGGTTCGTTCTTTCGTTTTTTTTTTTGTGGGAGGGGGGGGGGAATGGGTTTTGGGTTTCGCTACACGCGATGGGGTTTCCCTTTGAGCAGCCATGGGTGGTCTTGAAAGCAGCGAGCCTCGTGTCAAAACCCGCGGGCGCTTCATACGCGGGGAAGCCACGCGAGCCGTCGTCGCAAGCAAGGGATTTGTCCCGATAAGCTTCATGTCCATAGGTGCCGCTGGTTTTGGGTTTTGTTCCATTTACCAAAAAAGAACCTGCATCTTTATTTTTCCAAAAGGCCCCCTATGTTCATGTCGGTCTCCTGAACCCCAAATCTTGCCGTATGAAGGCCGCAGTGTCCTTTCTTTTAGTTGTTTTGGGTTTCACTTCAAACATGCAAGGTCGAACAGCTCCAGACATCTGTGGTCACTGCTAGTTTGGGCACCATCAGAAATCCGAGCGATTCTTTTCGATTTCCCATTCCGTTTGACCCCGGACGCAAGTCATCCATTTGCTTAATATTTTCCCCTGTTGGTTTTTAGAGGGAATCGATTTCACTACTGGACATATAGTTCTTCTTTTCAGGGCGCGAGAGAGATGGAAGAAGTGCTGCGGCCTGAAAGGACCGGTGTCGAAGCCAGGCGCAGTGGTGTGCGGAGCTCCCCATCGAGGGCGTGGTGCAGGGCGCAGGGTGCCCCAGGTTTCGGTCGCGCTGGTCAGTTGGTTCATCGGATCCGAGCAAACCCGCTGAAGAGCGGCAGCTAAAAAGGGGAGGGAAACAGAATACAAGATTGGCTCAAGCAGTCGTCAAGCTTTGCAGAAGGCATTGTACTCCGCAGCCCGCAGATGAAGCACATTGCCGCGCCAGTGTTGTTGGCAGCATGGATCTACGCAACTTGGACCACACGTGCCGCTTGCCGGAGAAGTCGCGGGATTTTGCTCGATTGCCAAATGCAACCAGCACCTGGTATCAGCCTCCAGTTGTCAAGTGCTGAGATCCATGCGGTGGTTTCAGACCAGCAGGGCACTTTTGACTTGCCATGCAACTTTTCTGAAGAGACGCTGCGGATTCACAACTTCTCCGGCATGGCCATGATTCATGGGTCCAGCCCAGCTGGACACAACTGGACCTTCGGCCAGTGTGACGATGTGCCAGGTTGGGCGCAAGTGGCCTTTTGCCCTAACAAGGTCTTGGTGGGCGACGAAGTGCAAGCCGGTTTTCTGGACAGCTTTGTGGATCCACGCGTGGTTTGTCCAGGCGGAAGTCTGGTGGAAGCCCACCTGGTCTTCCAGAAGTCTGGCTTCCAGCTTTGTCAAGACTTGTGCGCAAAGCAAACCTGCTACAGATTGGCATCCCTCGCCAACATAAGTGAAGGTGTGCGGAATGACTGCCTTATGGAGAACGTCAAGAAGAACTTTCGCAATTTCAGCGCGGCGTCGGAGGCGGGGCTGCTGCAAGTTCTTCAGGGCCCTTGCGCCCGCAGGCTCTCCGAATCTCCTTCCCCTGAGACAGCTGCGGCCTTGAACAACTCGCACAAGCTGGTGACGCAGCATGACCCCTGGCAAGGCCCTGGCGCAGGCAAGGTGATCCTACTGGACAGTTCTGGGTCTATGGGTGGGGTTTTAGCAGCTGTGAGACAGAAACTGGGGATGGAGTTTCCAAGTGTGAAGTTGTTGGATGCAGGCGATTCAGCTTTCACGGACCGCGGGAGCATGGGCAGACAGCTTCAGAGTGCTCTTGAATCTCTCCCTGCGCATTCTATGCTGATCATCGTCAGTGACTTTGAAGACAGCGTTCAGGAGAGTTTTTGCAACAAGTTGCATCAGCTGGCCAAGGCACAGCATGTCGTGCTCGTTCTGGAATCAGTTGACCGCTATCCAAAGGACTGCTTGCACGAAGTGGCTAAGGAGACCGGTGGGCACAGTACCGTCGGTCGGGTCATGCGCAAGTGATGTGTTTTGCGCGCAGTTTTGCAACGGCTGGGTGACGGGCAAGTTGCCCGAAACGTTTGCGGAAAACACGCGCGCACATTTACGCTCTAACGTGCCCTCCCCCCCAAAACCCATGCTTAAGCGTGCCCTTAGTGTATCTAGGGGATTCCTAAAACCCGGCTGCTTGCATGGACAGAAAGAAAGGTAAAGGATCACCATGAAAATGTGGTCTTTTGATGGTCTGTTTTGAAGGGTTGAGCGACAGCACCTTGTCGGTGGTCAGCAACCCTGGTTGTAACCGGGATAGGTATAACGCAGACTTATTGCGAATCAAACACAAATCATTAAGCATCAAAAAGCACTTATCAGGCATGAAGAAAACCTTGTTGCCACCAAGCAACTGCATGGAAGGAAGGTAGGCAGGGAAGGGAGGGAGGCGGAAAGGAAGGAAGGACTGCCTGATGAGATTCTTTGTGCTCGCTGCACTGGGGCGGGAAGAGGGGGGGCAAGGAAGCCAACCTCAAAGCAACCCAAGGCCCACCCAACACCTACCCTAAACCCACACGAAGCCAAACGGCCCTAAACCAACCCGCAGTAAACCCAGCCCCAGCAAGGTCTAAACAAGCAACCCCCGCCATGCCCGACAAGTTGGTCGTTGAAGCCTACCAGGTTGTTTGATGCCACAATTTCCAGTTTCTGTTTACCGTGTTTTGCAGCAAAATGGTTCCCGATAAGTTCGATGCCTAATAAGATGAAGTCTATATTTTTAGAAATAAGTGTTTTTATGCTTTATAAAGTCTATTCAGCGCCTCACCCGTTGTAGCCCATAGTTGTAGGTCCCCTACGGCCAGAAGTGGATGCACCCATTTTCAAGCAAACCAACAACCATGGCAACTTACCGCGCCTTGCTGAGTATTTTTGGGGGGCCTCGTTGGCCAGGTCAGTAAGTGGTTCGTATCCTAGGTTGTAACCTATTTACCACCAGGCTAACTGCACTAAGGGGCTTATAAGTAGGTTATAAGTTACAACCCCTGCCAACAACTTACTAACTCGCCCGACGGATCCGCGGAGTCCAATGGCCGAAACCGCAACTCTTCGGGGAGCCGAGGCCTTTACCTGGGCCTGGGTGAAGGCCATGGTGGCCGGGGCCTGCGAGGGCCACGCGGGGCAGATGCAGGGCCTGCTGCAGGCCCTGGGGTTTTTGGGGCCTGGGAGGTTGTGTTGCCACTGGCGGGGGGTGTGGGGGTGGGGCCGTAATGGGGATTTCAAGCAACTTTGCCTGGGAATGCACCAGGTGTTCATCGTGATGGGAAGGGGAAATGCAAGCTGTGGACGGTGGACGTCCTCAACGTGTTCCTGAGCTTTGTTTCAATATGAATATATTTGGAGCTTTAGCCGCGGGTGTTTTTTTTTCCCCGCCACCGTGGCCAAGCTCCAAGCTCTTGTAGTCGAAAAATGTGTGGTAGAATCTGGGATGCCTTCAAAAGCGTTGCTTTTGGGCCCTTCTGCAAAAACACAACACACGCACACACCCACACATTTGTTGTTGTTTTTTGCAAGAAGAACATGGAATCGTAATGCGGTCCAACTGCAAAAGGGCTGCCTTGGCCGCAGACGCACATGTCGGACCTGCAGCGGCGCTACCGCTGGCTGGACGGGCCTGGGTGCCGGACACTGGCTCGTGACAATCGAGGTTGATTTTGCCGAGGTCCAAGCCCTGTCCACCTCATTTTCACAGCGAGGGTTTCGGGGAGCACATCTCGGAAGTCCCGAACCGCCCAATGTTGGTGCTGTATGAGGCACATGTTGCACGAATTGGCGCACAGGGTATGGAACTCCGAATACGAATCAGTAGCTTACTCATGGCCATCGCAAGGGCCATCCTTTCCTGTCATGTGGCTTTTGGAGCCAACCTGCCAGACTTTGAGCTTGCTGGTGCCATAGGGAATGATCTTTGGAGTCCGGGTGTTGGTGGAATGAACCGGTGTTGTGGATTCCCCACAAAATTTCAAAATTCGTGGATGGCTTTTCTTGGGTCATTCCTTCATCCCCTGCTGAGAATCAAAAATGACGCGTCTTTTGTTGATGCCAAGTTTGGTTTTGATGCCTCTACTGACTGGGCAAGTCAAAAAGTTGCACCTCAAACTCAGGGTCCAGGGGTCGCCATTACCGCCGCGAGGACCAGACCCCCATGGTGCAGATGTCCAAGGCTGTGGAGGAGAGTAGCCTTGCGTTTTGAGACCCCGGCGGGGTCGCTTTTGAATCAGGGGTTATCCGTTCACTTTCATATTCCGAGATGAATGTTTTCTTCTTCTTCTTCTTCTTCTTCTTCTATTGGTTTTAAAGGGAATCTAGCACCGGAGATGAATCTGGCACTTGAGCAAATGGCAGTCCATAGGTTGCGTTCTTCTTGCCTTGAAGGAACCACCAGAGAAGGCTTGCCGGACTCAGCCTGACCCGCCCAGTGAAAGGCTCAAGCTGAGGGTTGGTTCGAGAGAGAAAGCAGGGAACGACTGCCACCACTCCAACCCAATGACCTCGGACAGGACTGAAGCCACTTGACGCCAGCGCGACATGTCTGCGTCAAGCCTGGTGGTTGAGACCTGTTCAATGCATTCCCCCGTTTGTGTGGGGAAAAAAAAGAATCCCGCCGGACCGACATCGCCAGCTTTCGATCCCAAGCCGAAACGCCGCATTCTGCGCATGGCGTGGATGGCTGTGGGGCCCGGGGCCGAGTCGGGCTCGATATGTGTCGCAGGGGGTGCCTGTTGGTTGCCTGTTTCGGGCTTACCCACGGAGTGGTTTGCGTGCCGCGGTCATGGCGCAATTGTTGGCGCAATTTTGGGGCTGGAGTGGTGTCCACTTGGTCAGTCGAGTCTGTTTCTCTGAGGCCATGCTTACGGTGTGTGCTGAGCCCAGGAGCCGTGCAAGTTGCAGTTGCTCTCATGCCAATTTGCCCTTGTACTTGGATTTGGCTGCAGGAACAACAGCGCAGGTCAGTGCATTGACCACTCCGCATAGAGACATGCAACTCCACTCTGTTGAGGTGGTCAATTCGCAGAATACCAAGCAAGGAGGCAACACAGAATTCCATGCAGTCTGTATATACAACAGAAGCAGCGCATGCAGACCCCAAGCGATGAGACAAACCGATCCTTGTTCATGACGAGCCATGAGCGGCGACTGGGAGAAGTGGAAGGGCGATGACGGGAGCAAGCGCGGAAGGGATGACTGGGAGGGCTGGAATGGCTGGAATGAAGGGAAGAATTGGAAGGCCAGAAGCAATTGGAATGACCGGGATGATTGGAAGCAGAGAGACTGGAAGCAAGGTTGGGAGGAGAAAGCGGTGAAGCAAGAGTGTAAAGTGAAGGAGGAGCCCCAAACTCAGTTTGCCCCGGGCACACCAGCCGCCGCCTTCAACCCGGGCACCCCCGCGGCGGCTTTCTTCAACCCGGGCACTCCTGCCGCGGCCTTTCCGGGCACGCCCCCACCGGCGCTCGGCGCCGCGCCGGGGACGCCGGGCCTGGCCGCGCCGGGGCTCAACCCGGGCACTCCCAGGGTGCCGCCCACGCCGGTGACGATGCCGGGGACGCCCGGCGTGCCAGGGACGCCCGCCTTCGGAGCCAGGCCCGGGGAAGCTGCGGGCGCCTGATGTCCGTCTGGCCACTTCGATGGGTTTGATGTTTGTCCGTTTTCTCGAGAGATTTGATGGATGGGTTGGGATTGCTTGGAATGTGGATGACGCTTCCGACACATCAGCCAGTTTGAGGGTGCGATTCTCTTCTCCTGCAACCTGAGACATATCCACTGGAGCAGGACAAAGCAACAGACCTGCAATACCTCGTAATCACCATAAAGTCCGGGCACCGCAAAACGCAACTAACTATTTTTGCACGTATCAAAAGATGCACCACAGAGCCCGCACCCCCCGCCGCAGCCTACGTTCCACGGGGAGGTCTCCATAAATGGCGAGAATTGCTCTGGATTTCATGGGAACGTTGCAGGACTTGTGGTTTTGGGCAGTTGCCTCTCTTCGCTGTGTCGGTGGCCTGTTGCCCATTCGCTGGAACGCCCGTTTATTTTTCTTCTTCTCTCTTTTCTTTCCCGTGCGTCCATATTTGCAACGGTCTTCCGGGCGACTCGCGGCGTGTTTTTTGTTGGAAGCTGCCGACCACCGAGCCTTCCGCCGCCAGGTTCGCCGGGTACCGCGCAGGCTCGGGCCTGGCCACCCCGGTGCCCGTGCAGCAGGCCCCGCCGCCCACCAGCGCGGCGCTGGTGTCGCTGCGCTCGGCGCCGGTGTCGCGGGTGATGATCCAACCCACGGACCTGCGCCACGCGCCGCGGATCCGGAACGGCAAGGCCGGGGTTTGTGGGAGATGGGTGAAACGGCACCAAAAAAATGGGGGCGGTTTGGGGGGGGGGTGGGGGGGTGGTTGGTTGGGGAGATGGCTGTGGTGGTCAAAACCGTTGGGAAATTGGCACCAAAAGGGGGGTGGTTGGGGCGGTGGTTGGGGCGGTGGCTGCTTTGGGAGGAGTTGGGAAGATTGCACCAAACAGGGTACGTGCAGTTGCAGTTTTCCCCTCCCGTCTCCCCGTAGTCTTGTAGTCCTGCAAGAAGTCTTTCCACATCCCAATCCAGGCAGGGACCTTGGGACCAGTTTTCGTTTCTCATGTAAGTCTAATCATGCAATGAATCATACTGATATCTTTGTCTTTCCCCGTCCAAGCTTTGAGCGCCAAACAGTGGCTGCATCGGATCGGTGAGCTTCTTTCCGCCCCCGGGTTTTCGTCCTCCCCGTCTCTTCGCAATCTTCGTGCAGCCATCCAGGCGGAGCTCAGTGGCGGACCACAGACATGGGATTTGGTTTCAAAAGACCTCAAGATACACCCGGGCTTAGGTCTCAAACTGGTGGCGCCCCCCCAAAAGAGTAGATGAGTAGAGAGAAATAAGCCCAAATAAGCCAACATGAACCAAAATAAAACAAACATAAACCAAGAGATAAACAAACAAATACAGTGGGCAAATAAACAAACAAATAGGCAAATCAATAATCCATAGAAACATAAAAGCACATAAACAAACCCATGAACAACGGCAAATCGGAATAGATCGGGATGGTCCTTGTGCCCTCCTCCTTTTGGGTCAGGTGCTGAAGGGCCCCTCCCTGGTGGCGAAGCTGCCAGAGCCGAAGGCCAAGGTCTCCAAGGCGCGGGAAGCTCCGAACTGGAAGACATGGGATCGACTCCATTGGGGTTAGATCAGAATCACTTCATGGGTGCAAGGACATGATCACTTGGTTCTGGTTGATACTGTAGGTTACTTCTTAGGTTCCTTCTTAGGTTACTCTACCATAGATGTACTGTGGGTGGACACAATCCATGTCGCACCACTTTGAAGCCATGGGAAGCAATAAGGTTTGTTGGTATTTGCAGGGGAATCATCAGAAATGAGGGTTTCTTAGGTGGTGCGGGAATTTGTCCATCCACAGTAGGTGTCCTTCTTAGGTCAATCACACAGTTCGTCTAAACCTTTTTATGGATCAACCAGTTGGACCTTTTTGGGTTACTTTGCTTAAGAATAGATGGGTTCCACTGGTTTAGATGGGTTTGGTTCCATTTACAAGGGGGAACCCATCTATTTTTCCAAAAGGTCGCCTGTGGGATCGACCATTTTGCAGTAGCTTGGGGGCGGGGGTCCATGTTTCAGTCCGTTTCCTTGGATCCTCTTTTTTTTGGTGCAAATGATTGGTTGAGAAAACGGGTACACCCTGGTTGTGGCTTATTTGCTCTTAACCTCCAACCAGTAGAATGGTTTTCCAAGGCTAAGGGTATGTATTCAGACGCCAAGAAAAGAACTTCTTTGTTGCTTCGTTTGTCGAGAAGCCATGTCTCATGTGTAGTTTCCCGGTCCCCGGAGCCGGAGATGCGAGATTCGCCGCATACTTGGCTGCACCGGGAACCGATCTATTTTGCCGCATGTTGAGCTTTGAACTGTGTGGAGAACTGGAGAAGGATTCATCCTTTGTGTTTTTGAGGGCACCTTTCTCGGATGAAACGAAAACCCAACACCACCACTTTGGATCCTTCTTTGGGACCCCAGTTGGGCCAAAACCATCCCATAGACCCATTCAGTGGATGGACGAAATCCATTTCGCGCCACTTTGAAGCCATGGTTGAAGCCATTGTTTGTTGGCATTTGCGTTGGGGAATCGAATCAGAAACCGTTGGGTTTCACGGTGGTGCCGAAACGCGGATTTCGCTTTTGCACCCAGAGTATTGCCTTTAGGTAACCCTGGTTTGGGGTCTATCCCTTCAGGTAAACCGTCCCCAAAACCGACCCGTGGCCCCAAAGCCGACCCATCGGCTCATGGACTCATCGACTCATCGACCTTAGGTGTCCTTTTTGGTTAGTTTGTTTAAAAATGGATGGGTTCCGCTGGTTTAGATGGGTTTTATTTCATTTACCAGGGCCATCTCTTTGTCCAACAGGCCACCTATGGCTGGGGTGGTGGGGTGGTGGATGGGTTTGGGGAACCCATCGATTCCAAGCGGCCACCGACTCGACGACACGTCGACTCGTCGACACGTCGTCCGCAGGCGAAGGTCCCGGACTTCAAGAGCTGGAAGCGCCAGCAGTCGGAGCGCCCCTCCGCCACCCCGGTGCCTCTGCAGCCCGGGGCCGCCACTCCCTTCGAAGGCGAGGAAGTTTCAAGGGCGAGGCCCATTTTGGATATTTGGCCGTGGTTGTCAAGACCGTTTTGGGATCCCATTTTTTGGGGTAGGTGCACCACCCATTTTGGTCGGGATTTTAGTGGGGATTGGGATGTTCACTGGGGGGTACGGGATGTTGACCCATGGCCATTTTGGTGACCTGTTATCGTCTCATGTTCTCAGCCGTAGCTTTGGGGGTTTCAACACTCTTAGACCTCCCCCCACAGGGTCATTTCTCTTACCCAGAGTTTCAAGTAGTTCTTCCTGAATACCGAAGTGGGTGTGACTTTTTTCTCAGGGTACCCCATTTTTGGAGGCTTAGGGAACCCCAAAGGAAAACCAGCCGTTGAGTTATCCAGAGTGCGCCGAATTAGTTGAGAGGTCCCGCAGGTTAGTCAGGATGTTTGGCCAGCGGATTGGCAGCGTGTCAAAACGAGACGATGACCCTGGACGGTTTGACAAGGGAACGATGGAGAAACCTTGCTGGTGCTCAGCAGGGAATGAGGGGGAAAGACCTTAGAAATCATCCCCTATTTCCTTTTAGGGAATCCTGAAGTTCATTCCCTCATTCCCTATCGCACCAGCAAGAAACTCGTAATGTAGACATGGTAAGATCTCCAGCGCCAACGCCCGCCCCTGTACGAGCCTTCTGAATTGAGGAATGATACCATGGCCATGCGGGGCGATATCGTGGCCATGAGGGGCGCGCCATAGTCAAACAAGTTGCTTACTCGGGGTTAGAAGGGATGGTCACGGGTTCCTTGCTTTGTATAGACAACCAGTGTCGAGATTCCTAGAAAGGGAACTGTGATGAAGCCTATGCAAGGAGCTTGACCAGGGCATATGCGTCACACTACGTTTGCAATTGTTTGCTTTTGTTGACTTCCTGTGGATGGACGAAGTCCATTTCGCACCACATTGTTAGTTGGTATCACTGGCTCCAAACCAGCAATTAAAGGGACACTGAACCCATAATCCGAACCACCAAACCGGGGGGGGGGGGGGGCGGGTGCACGTGAGAGTCTCAGCCTAGACTCGCAGGTCTGGGCATGGGCATGACCCCCATCAGCGGGGAGGTGACGCCCATGCTGCCGCAGAGCGCTGGGGAGCTCTACGGGGGCATGACCCCCCGGTGAGCGAACTCGAACTGGCGCTTGAAGCGCAGCAAATCGAAGGATGCAGCGAAATGGGAAGCAAAAGAGACGGCGAAGATGAGCGAACGCGGTTCAAAGATTGGGGGCATGATGCTTTTACGTGGAGCTGGTGAGTGTGACTGGATACATTGCTTCAAGCAACGATTGAGGCTTGCGCGAGCTTGTTCAACAAGTATACCATGTCATTTGAGGCCACACAGCTCGAGTGGCGCTGCGCGTGCCAAAGGCGGGGAGTTGGTCCTTCGCGCGTGAAGCGTCTTTCCGTTTTTGTCCCAGACCTCCAGTGGTGGTTTGGCACAGACTCACCGGAGGTTCTAGCAGGCCGCAGAAAACACTAGCACTTGGCATTTGCGGTATCTTTTCGACCCATGATTTCTCCGACACAGTGGTAGATCAGTTGAGGATTTTTTGTTGGGTCTTGCGTGCATTCCAAGAATTGTTGTATAGCTGCATCCTGTACACTCGTCTTCCCATGGCGGGGGGCAGACGACTCAGTTGTCTTTAGACCACCTTACCTTACCTTGCCTTACCTTACCTTACCTTACTTGCCGATATCCCCTTCTCCAAGATCTTTATAATATAGTGGTGTGCCAGCTTGCCGAATCCCTCCGATAGGTGCAGGGATCTGCCCCAAGCCAGGCGCGGGTGGACAATACGGGCGTGCCTCTTCAAACGGGGAGCGGTTTTCCCTGTGGTTTCCCTTTGAAGCACCCCCCGAAAAAAATGGTCCCGAGCCTCCAAAAACGACAGACCCCATAGATCTTCATGGTGAATGATGGCCAACCCCAACTTCATTTGTTGCCCCAGAAGGGGGGGGTCAAAGGCAAGCGCAGCTTTTGGAAGAGATAGAAAGACAGCCAGGGGTTCGATCTCGTGTCGAGCGAGCCACATCTTATGTCACATCTCTTTTCTTTTTACATTCCCACTTGGAGATGTTTTTCCTTCTTTCTCATCATCTTCATATCAGCTTCCTTCCAATTGTTGGTCTGGATTGGGGGTTTGGTGGTTAAGGAGGGTTTCCTACCCTCTACAAGAACCAGGGGTTCAATCCCCAAACCAATCCAAACCACCAAGGGTTACCTGATCAGAATCTGAGAGCCATGGGTTCTTTGCAACCGTTGCCAAGTTCCGACCAAACGCCCATGAAGCTTCCTTTCTTGAAGGCTCCTGAATTCCGGCTGGCGAGTTGTTCTACACTCGAATTGTGGCGGATTCTTGAGTTTCAGGACCACCGTGGTTGCAAAGGGATTTCCTTTCGTGTGAGAAAGGAGAGACATCAAAAACCAGCCCCAAACCAACCCCAAAGAACCCCCCAAATCACCTCAACCAACCCCAAGCCAACCCGAAACAAACCTACCAATTTTAAGTAATTTAAACAAGCCGAACAAAACCCAACCTAACCCAACCTGAAACCAACCCCAAACCAAGCCTCACCCCACCTCAGCCTCCAGCTGCCAGGGTCGCTGCGAGACCTGCGGCGGGGAGGCGCACTTGGGCCTCCCAGAGGTGGCAGGGGCCCCGGAAACGCGGGGGTCTGGACGAAATTCATTTCGCACCACTTGGAAACCAAGGTTGAAACCATTCTTGGTATTTACAGGGGAATCATCAGATACCAGGGTTTCTGAACTAAGAGGATTTCGTCCATCCACAGTAGATCCCCCAGCCAGGTGCCCTTTCTCACCCCTTTTTTGGTTGGGAGGGTTCCCCTACTAAAATAGACGAAACAAAAGAAAGGGTACCCTTATTCTAGCCCCTCTACTGAAGGACCCAGTGAAGGAACCCCTCCCTTCACTTGGGAGGTGGGGGAACTCACGAAACTTCGGAAGATGCGGGGTACTCGCTCAATGTTCCGTGTCCTTTGGGGGAACAAGAAAGCGGATGACCGTCTTTATGTTCTTTGTTTCGTGTTCTCCTCCTCTCTTTCGGTCGTTTTGGCGAAGACGCGCGCTTCTTATAGCCAACTAGGTCTTGGCACAGACATTTTGACCCTTTCGGGGCTTGGCCATGACTGCACCTACACCGATTCACTCGGTGAGAGCAGTAGCTGCCATGGGCGCAAGTGCCCAAATGCCCAGAGCACGCAACAAAATGAAGCCAGAGAAACCACCAGCCCCTTGGCGCCAGTTCGCTTGCTCTGACCATGTGAGCATGTAGACACCCTTGCCACCAACCACACGACAAAATCAGGCTTGCTTCGAATGCCCGGTTTTTTGCCGCTCCCCTTCAAGTCAGCCAACCATGGCCATGAATGTTTGACGGACAATATCTTCAAACATGCTTGCACATACATCCGCCTGTAAACTGTTTGGGGAAAAGGAGGCAATCACCTTAGAAATCCGGAGCGCAGATTTCCAGCGTCCCCTTTCTTTGGGGGGTGCATGTCCCAGGGCCCAGAGGACGTCTTGGGCATTGTCTCCAGCAGCCCACTGGCGACGCAGTGGCGTGAGGCAATCGGATTGGGTAGGGACAATGTCCGTACCAAGGACCCCCCCCTTAAGTGATAAGGTAGTCATGGTGATGGGAATCCCACCCTGGTATCAGAGAAAAAACAGTTATGTCCCGAGTTTATTGCCCACAACGGGCAAGGGGGATGGTTTAACGAGGAGACCAACATGAACCCAGGCTTTTGGCCTGCCATGGTCACAAGATCCCATCGTGTTGTTTAAGACAGCCATTGTAAGCGCTAGTAAGGGAACCATGGCCACGATCCACATGAGGAGTTTGACCATCACGCAGATGGTTATAGCTTCCTTCAGGTTGCAGCAGAGGACCCATCTTTCAAAGCAGCAGGCGTGTCAAACCTGGGATTACATCAACGGCGTACAAGCAATGCCCATTTGGCAAAGGCCAGTCTGAAATAGTGGCTGCTGGGATCTTATATGTGGATTTCTTCAGCCGACTCGCAAAGACCGTTTCGTCTTTGAAGGTGTTGCTGGAGGCAGATCTCGAGGAGAGCGCTGGAAATTCACCCGGTTTGGGGCGGTGCAAAATTGGGATAGGTTGCCACTTGTGATACCATGGGAATTCTGATCAATGTGGACGGCCAACATCTTCGGCGCAGAAAGGATTCACTTCAAGCATTGTCGGGTTGGATGGGCTGGTGGCTGCCAAATGTCCAGTCCTCTTTTTTTCCCATAGATGGCCACTGGGCAAGCGGAATGTTGGCGATTGCCATGTTGACCAGCGCCCTTGAAGAAATATGGGTGTGGCTCAAAATTAACCAGGAGGGGGTTACGCAGGTTTTGGTCCATGTTTCCACTTACCAGGGTTCCATTTTGGTACCGTTTTTTTGAGCCACAGCCATATGAGCATGTGAGGCCCTAATTGAATTACCAATAGTCTACCCCTAAAATCATGGCCAACCATGGTTCTTAGGGCCCCCCGGAGCCCCAGTCTTGTTTGGAATCTGTTCAGATCGCCATGGGACAGGGACAAAAAAATTGGGCTCCGGGAAATCCGACAGACCACGGGTTTGCTTTTTTTCTCGCGTTTGCAATGTGGCTGAGGGGACTGAAAGCGGGCCTCAGCATTGGGATGAGTTGTGTTTGTGTGCGCGCGTACCTTTTCTTGGGGGTACACATATAACTATATATATATACACATATTCCAAAGTTATGGTGGCTCGGCGTCATGGAGTTGAACAGATGCTTGACAGCTCATGTTGTTCCAGAGTGAATTGTAATGCTAGTGCTTCTCAGGGATTGCCACACGGTAGCTGCCTCAGACCGTTTTCCCTCTGACCACCTGCTGGCACACTATCTCCAGGTATGTCTGATGAACTATAGAGTACTGCAGCCCAGGGACTGCGTAACTGCACTGACCCACGATGTTATCAGCCATAGTGCATCTGACGGGTTGCTGTACGTCGCAGCACCCTCATGAGGAAGGAAAGTCGCCCAAGCAGCTTCTGCTCCATGTTTGCTGGGAACCATCCGAAAGAGTGAACAAATCTCAAAATGGAGGGAGCCCCAAGATATTTTTTCTCTTTGGGTTTCCCTTTGCAACCACTCCGCACCCTCAGAAAAGGACACCCCCCACATGTCTTGTTTTTATGGGTACCCCTTATTCGGGTCAGGGAACCCTTGGTTGGTTTGGATTGCGAAGCGTGGCAAATACAACTGGCATAGGCCTTAGGGTTCCCTTTCTGCTTTAGGCCTTAGGGTTTGTTAGGCTTCTTTAGGGAGCCTCCTTGGACTACTCCCGCTTAGAGACTCCATCACAAGTGTCCTTTTTCGGTGAGTTTGTTTAAAAATGGATGGGTTCCACTGGCACTGGATCGGTTTCATTTCACTTACCAGGGCAACCCATCTGTTCCGAAAGGCCACCGACCCATCGAGGACACGTCGACTCGACGACACGTCGACCGTAGGCGAAGGTTCCGGACTAGGCCACCTATCCCCATAGCTTGGAAGGGGAAGAAAGGAACAAAAAGAGGAAGCTCAAAAGTTTCTCCAAAAGGCCACCTATGGTTGGGGGTGGTTTCCCTTCAAGCCACTTTTGGGAGGGGGGGTGGCCACCTATGAACTCCTCTATCTGTCCAAAAGCCCACACTTTCGAGGCTCCCATCGGATCGATCTCCTAGGAGCGGCCCTCTTTGGCGCCGCTGCGGGTCTGCGCCTCCTTGGAGGCCGACGGGTGGCGGTTGGAGTGCGAGGTCTGGTTTTTGATTGGCTCTTTTCGTGGTTTTCTTTTTTTTGCCATTGCTTTTGGTTGACTTCTTTTGTTTGTTCGTTTAGTTTTGTTTGTTTTGTTTGTTTTGTTTGTTTGTTTGTTTGTTTGTTTGTTTGTCTTTCTGTTTGTTAGTCCCGATCATTTTTGCGCAGAGGTACCAACTTGTTCAGAACGATGCCCCCACAGCTGCCATGATCTTTAAACCTGGACCCCCCTCAAGAATAAGTTGGACAGAAATCCCCCGGAAAAAAAAAAAGCCAGCCAAAGCAAAGAGCCAACCCAACTAACCCGTGAGGCTCTCCCGAGCCCCCCGCTGAACCGGAAAATCGGCGCCTCTGCGGAGGAGGAGAAGGCGGAGCTGGAGCTCCGAGCGCCTTGCCGATGTCCACGCAGGGCTGGTTCCTTCGCTTGGGGTTTGGGGGAAAATCGAGGTTGATGTCTGTTTCTGGGGGAAATAACCAAAGTTCCCAGGGGAAATGGGACATTTTGATTAATGGAATTGGAGCTTGGGAACTGTTTCTCGGGGGAAATAGTCAAAGTCAGATCAAGTCAGATCATGTTATGTGTTTCCTTCTTTCCCCTTTGACCTACCACTGAACGGTGGTGACTCTGTTGATCGCGGTTAAAACATGGACTCGGTGGAAGGGAGCCGGTATCCAAATTTCTGCTTGTTTGGGAGCATCTAAATTTGTCTCATAGGGAGCCAAGAGGCTGTCCGTTTTTTAAGGAGATGGTGATTGAGGTTGGAATCTATTGGTTACTTCTGCTTGGGAAGGCCAAGGGAGAACTACCAAGGGTGAAAGTAGATGGTACAGGTCACGAGTTCATTTTCAATCCCTTTACTTTTGAAGGAAACTGTGCCATCTACTTATGGTTTCTGCTTGGGCGAACATCAAGGCCGTAGTGGCCACAATCCAAATTGGGGTAGGTGAGACAGCATCAACCATAAATATGTCCGCAATAAATCCTTTGTTTGTTTGTTTGTTTGTTTGACCTGATTTGATTTGTTTGCCTTTGTGTGTTTGGTTGCTTGTTTGCTTGCTCGGCTTCCTCGTTTCTGTGTACGCGATCCAAGCAACCTCTCTTTGGATTCACCCAGGCAGGTCCCTTTCTTGGGGTATGGCAAGTGCAGATATTCCATCGAAAGGAATATCTTAAGATGGAACCGGACTCGGGTGCTGTTATGCGGACTTGGATTCAAACCCGTGTCACCCTGGAGTGTGGTGATTTGCTTTGTAATCGGTGTGAGCTGAAACCATTGTGGGGAATTCACTGAGCCTTCTTGAAAACCCCAACGCTACGACCCATCCGGCAAGCTGAGGTGGTTGCAGACCCGCTGGCGCTCGCGCAGCGCGCGCGGCTCGCCAGGGTCCCGAGTCTTCGGCGATACTTGAAACATTCAGAGGGGTTTCGCAGGGCTGTGACCTCCTCCCAGAAATACATTTACTACAACGGCCACCCCCCCCCAGCCCATTTTCCCAAAATGCCACGCCACGGCTCGGTTTGAGCCGCTCCCATCGATTTGGAAGCGACTGAATACCAGCGGCACAGGCCATCTACCCCCCCTGGCGTCTGGGGCCGCACCTGCGCTTCTCCTGGCGCCTGGAAGCGCGAGAGGCCGGTGCCGGTGCGCGCTCACCAGCTTTCATGGTGGGCTTTGTGGAGGATCAAAAGCTCCAAAAAATCAACGGACCCCTCTGCCACCATGGCTTTCTCGTGTGTGTCTGTGTCTGTGGACGGAGTCTCTGGTGCACCCAGGGGCCAACTTTTCGCGCAGGGGGACACTTTCTGTCAGCATAGCTGGGTGCCCAAGGAAGAGGGCTATGTCGCGGCTGATACGGAGTTCCGCGTACTCGTGTTCCAAGTCCTTTTGGTCCTCTCCCTGAACCGTTGCTGTTTGCTTTGCCCCTAGAGTATCCCTTCTGGGTGAACCCAGGTGCATGCATTGCGCAGCCCGGGACGTCTTGCCCGTTGCCTGTGCAACCTTTTGCAAGACGCGAGTGCTATTAATCGTTGCACTCGACACTTATGCATACTTTCCTTTACTCGCTCAACTTGACTTTCTACCATTTCACCCTCACGGCACTCAACTTACACATCCGTATTCTCATGCGCTCAACTTTACGCTTGCTCTACAGAAAACTAGGCATGTGGGGTTTTTGTCCTGCAGTTGCTTGGCGCGTCCTTTTGATGAGGGTGCCCTCCTCCATTTCTGGACCACCCACGCGTTTCGTCTCACACAGCGCTTTTCATTTATTCCTCCTGCAGAGCGCGATATAAATGACAACAATCATGCCGAAAGGCGAGCGCCTGGGTACAAGTACTTTTCAGGGCCTAGATAATGCGATCGGGGTTGGGCTCTTTAACACCATTTTCATGATTTTGGGGCCCAGTCGCGCCAGGAAACCCCTCCGGCAGTGCCGGCGCCCGAGCTAAGGCGCCCGCTTAGGGAATGTCCCTGTGGTTTCCAGTCGAAACAGCCACAAAACAGGTGGCCACAAAACAGGTAGCCTCAAAAGAAACCAAAATGGTTGGTGCCCATTTGGTTTGACTAGCCAACAACAAAAACAGGGCCGTTCAGCTTGCCATAAAGGGTGTTCCGATCAAGCAGGACAATCCTGTGCATCCTCGAGTTCCCTTTGTTAGAGCCCATTTAGGGTCACCCAACTGTCCTTTCTCGGATGTTTTGGGGTTGTGGCAACCATCCGTTTCAATGACCCAGCCTGGGTGGTTATTCCCCGTATTCCTTGTGAAGAAGCAAGTTCCCCTTTGTGCTGGTAGTGGCGGACGGATGTTTCGTGGCACCCCAGCTCACCAAATGCAGGTCCACAACTTGTGTTTGGGTCGGGTTTTTCAGTCACCGCGTGGTTGTTTCTTCTTTTGAGTTACGTTTCCCCCTGGTTTCTTGTTCTTGCTATTTTAACAACACATTTTTTCCTGTTTTGGTGGTCTGCTTACCTGACTGCCTGGAGATCGATCTCCGGCCAGGCAGAAGCCCAGGCGCCCACGGGCCCTCACGGGCATCGGAGGCGGGTGGTTTCGCTCGGGGGTCCAGCTCTTGCCCTTTTTGGCGGTTTGTTCGTGAAATATGACTAGGCTCCCCCCAGCTTTTTTGGTTGGGAGATTCGGTTCCCGTACTAAAAGGCTACAGAAAAAAAGGGTACCCTTATTCTAACCTCTCTACTGGAGGACCTAGATAAGGAAATATCGGGAACATGAAAATGGTCGTCACCTTTTTGGGTCATGAAAGGTGGGTGTTTTGCCATATTTCGTGCGTCAGAGACGACGTTTGGGTCCGAGGTGTCAGCGGCGGCTTCGGCGGCGGCTCCGACAGCAGGTTCAGGGAACAGTCATGGCAATGTGAGCAGCATGAACTGATCCACATGAGCAGTGTTCAGCATGAGACATGAAGGGGCGGTGAATGTTATGCTCCCGACATGTTCCAGTTGAAACCCGGTAGACGTTTTGGGGCCATTTTTTGTTTGTTTTCCGCCCTCCAGGAGCCAATTTTCAGCGCTTTTGCAAATGGCTTAATGGATTATGGTGTCGAAATCAAATTGCACCTTCTGGGCCATACAATCAGCAAGTCTGGGAAACACACAAAAAAGACAGCCATTTTGGTGCCCGATGCAGAATGAACACTGCTCATGAGGCTGTTCTGCCTGATTCGTTGGAGAAGCGGGTTGACACTTGAGCGACTTGTGAAGATTCCATGTGATTTTCTGGCTACCCTCCTGCCGGCGAGCATGCCAATGGTTCTCGGAACAATGGAACACATTTGTATATCGCTTCTTTGTTTCGATGGTGGGACATCTGACTCGCGTATCGAGTCAGCCGGGTAGAGGGGTTTACTTTTTGACCCATGCTGGCCGGGTGGAGGGTAGCCTCCCTGGAGCTTCGATGTTCACATGGACCCGGAGCTTCTTGAGACGCAGGTGCGGACCGGCCGGATGGGGACCCGTTGGTTGGGCGGGAAACGCGGCTCGCGCCGAGTGGATGTTGGAACGGTTTTAGACGTTTCATTTGGCTGTCAGAAACTTCGCCCCGATTCCCGATTCCTCCAAGTGCTGGCATCTTGGTCTTTCCTCAAGCTTAACCAGCAAGAGTCCCTAGCTTTCACAGTGTGTGCTTCTTGCACGCTTCGTTCCTGGTTGACATAAACACAACCCAGACGGCTCGCAAAAAGCGAGCTCTGGACGCATAGGCGGCGCCGCAGCCGTTCCAACTGCTTTCCCACCTGGAGGAGGCGCCTTCCGAGAGCGAGTGGAGAGCGGAGAGGGAAAGAAACCCACACGAGCTCTGGATCTTTGTGCTTTTTTATTGGTGTGTGATTGTGCCAGCTAGGGTTGTTTTCGGGGGTTCCCCCCAGGCAAAAAACCCTGCAGGCTCTGGTGAGATTTGTCCTTGGATCTCCGTCCTCTCGATGGTTCTGGTACATCCGTAGAGGCTAAAGCTCCTGTCTCATGTTCATTGTCCACACTTCCCCTTAGGAACATGATGCAACTGCCCAGGGGCTGGGCCAAAACTCATGTTTCCACCTAGGCAGAGTCAAGGATGGGAAGCCTTACCCTCCTGACTAAAATGTAACCTGCCTGAGGGGTTCTGGATGATGATTTTCCTTTAAAAGGGCCCTCTGGTGATATATGGCAGGTTTTTCAGGTCTGAGGCACAGCTTTCCCCCGATGTAAAAAAACTGCCAATGTTAATCCAATTAGATCTCTGGTTGAACAAGGGTAAGCAAGGTGGAAAGCACCTCCCCTATCTTTAAGATGCTATTCGCACGAAAGTTCCACCCTAGACCCAAATTGTTCTGGGAGCCCCCCCCTTCCCCATTCTTTCCAGGAATCCTTCTAGAGAACCTTCAGAAAACTCAGGGCAACCGGCTTTTTGAAAAGAACCACGGTTGAAAATAATGGAAAAGGAGTCAACTCCTCCGGCTCAGGCGGAGGCGCCGGAAGGCCTGCAGCTGCCGCTGCGGGCGCATCAGCTGCAGTCCCTGGCCTGGATGCAGGCGGGGGCGGGGGCGTTCCTCCGGAGGGCCCGAGTGATCTGCCCTGATTTTTCCCGAAAGCATCGCGAAGGGTCCTTCCGTGCGGAGCCCTCGGACAAGTTACATAGAGTTAAGTTACATAGAGCCAAGTTACATAGAGCCAAGTTACATAGAGCCAAGTTACATAGAGCCAAGTTACATAGAGCCAAGTTACATAGAGCCAAGTTACATAGAGCCAAGTTACATAGAGCCAAGTTACATAGAGCCAAGTTACATAGAGCCAAGTTACATAGAGCCAAGTTACATAGAGCCAAGTTACATAGAGCCAAGTTACATAGAGCCAAGTTACATAGAGCCAAGTTACATAGAGCCAAGTTACATAGAGCCAAGTTACATAGAGCCAAGTTACATAGAGCCAAGTTACATAGAGCCAAGTTACATAGAGCCAAGTTACATAGAGCCAAGTTACATAGAGCCAAGTTACATAGAGCCAAGTTACATAGAGCCAAGTTACATAGAGCCAAGTTACATAGAGCCAAGTTACATAGAGCCAAGTTACATAGAGCCAAGTTACATAGAGCCAAGTTACATAGAGCCAAGTTACATAGAGCCAAGTTACATAGAGCCAAGTTACATAGAGCCAAGTTACATAGAGCCAAGTACATAGAGCCAACATAGAGCCAAGTTACATAGAGCCAAGTTACATAGAGCCAAGTTACATAGAGCCAAGTTACATAGAGCCAAGTTACATAGAGCCAAGTTACATAGAGCCAAGTTACATAGAGCCAAGTTACATAGAGCCAAGTTACATAGAGCCAAGTTACATAGAGCCAAGTTACATAGAGCCAAGTTACATAGAGCCAAGTTACATAGAGCCAAGTTACATAGAGCCAAGTTACATAGAGCCAAGTTACATAGAGCCAAGTTACATAGAGCCAAGTTACATAGAGCCAAGTTACATAGAGCCAAGTTACATAGAGCCAAGTTACATAGAGCCAAGTTACATAGAGCCAAGTTACATAGAGCCAAGAGCCAAGTTACATAGAGCCAAGTTACATAGAGCCAAGTTACATAGAGCCAAGTTACATAGAGCCAAGTTACATAGAGCCAAGTTACATAGAGCCAAGTTACATAGAGCCAAGTTACATAGAGCCAAGTTACATAGAGCCAAGTTACATAGAGCCAAGTTACATAGAGCCAAGTTACATAGAGCCAAGTTACATAGAGCCAAGTTACATAGAGCCAAGTTACATAGAGCCAAGTTACATAGAGCCAAGTTACATAGAGCCAGTTACATAGAGCCAAGTTACATAGAGCCAAGTTACATAGAGCCAAGTTACATAGAGCCAAGTTACATAGAGCCAAGTTACATAGAGCCAAGTTACATAGAGCCAAGTTACATAGAGCCAAGTTACATAGAGCCAAGTTACATAGAGCCAAGTTACATAGAGCCAAGTTACATAGAGCCAAGTTACATAGAGCCAAGTTACATAGAGCCAAGTTACATAGAGCCAAGTTACATAGAGCCAAGTAGAGCCAAGTTACATAGAGCCAAGTTACATAGAGCCAAGTTACATAGAGCCAAGTTACATAGAGCCAAGTTACATAGAGCCAAGTTACATAGAGCCAAGTTACATAGAGCCAAGTTACATAGAGCCAAGTTACATAGAGCCAAGTTACATAGAGCCAAGTTACATAGAGCCAAGTTACATAGAGCCAAGTTACATAGAGCCAAGTTACATAGAGCCAAGTTACATAGAGCCAAGTTACATAGAGCCCAAGTTAGAGCCATAGAGCCGAGTTACATAGAGCCGAGTTACATAGAGCCGAGTTACATAGAGCCGAGTTACATAGAGCCGAGTTACATAGAAGTTACATAGAAGTTACATAGAGCAAGTTACATAGAAGTTACATAGAGCCAAGTTACATAGAGCCAAGTTACATAGAGCCAAGTTACATAGAGCCAAGTTACATAGAGGCAAGGTTAGGTAAAGCTTAGAGCTTCGGCGTTAGCAGCTATGTAAGTTAGTTTAGGTTTCTAAGGCGCAGGGGCGGGAGTTTCATCGTCGCTCGGGATTGCGACCCTCTGCGGAGATTCGCGTGATCGAGGTTCAACAACTGAGGACTTTTTACGATTTCTGCTGGCCGCGCGCGACCCTCTGCGGAGATTCGCGTGGTCGAGGTTCAAAAACTGAGGACTTTTTACGATTTTTAGCATGCGCGCGCGACCCTCTGCGGAGACTGTGCGCGTCGAAGCGCTCTCGCTGTGGCGCCGTGCGAATTTGTCTTAGTCTCGGCGAACCCTCTGCGGAGATTGTGCGTGTCGAAGCGCTCTCGCTGTGGCGCCGTGCAATATTCTTGCTCGCGAAACGGCCTTTGGACGTTGTCTCGTGGTTTGCGCGCGTGCTTTCGCAATCCCGCGGTCGCGGGTTCGATTTCCCCCTGGTCCGCGGCAGCTCCGGCTTGAAAATCGCAGTGTTTTCCAGTGTTTGCGCAAAACTGGGCCCAAGTTGGGGCCCATGCTCGGGGGGGGGGGGCCCCCAAGAGCCGAATTGTGTTTCTTGAGCCTGCCGGCGGGGCACGGGGTAAACCCCTCCCCAGCGGGTGGGCGGGATCTACACACAGTACCTTTCCCATTGCAACGTCACAGCACACACTGACATCAACTCAACACACACACACACACACACTCACTCACTCACTCCCTCCCTCCCTCGCTCGCTCGCTCGCTCGCTCACTCACTCACTCACTCACTCACTCACTCACTCACTCACTCACTCACTCACTCACTCACTCACTCACTCACTCACTCACTCACTCACTCACTCACTCACTCACTCACTCACTCACTCTTATTTCGAGACACTTCGCTGTGGGCAATGCAATCTCCAAAGCCGGGTTTGGCGGGGGCGAGTGAAGCCTCACCAATAAGCAGGTTTCCGCAAAAAACTTGTGTTTTTCACGCTTTCCGAGGCCTTGCGCCCACGCGAAAGTGTGAAAAACACAGTGTTTTGCTCATGTCTTGAGCGAAAACCATGCCCAAAACCGAGCTTAGATGAAGATCAGTATAGCCTCACTGTTAAGCAGGTTTCCACATTTTGCGCCTTCCCAGCCGTCAAAAACGTAGAAAAGCACAGTGTTTTCCAGTGTTTGCGCAAAACTGGGCCCAAGTTGGGGCCCATGCTGGGGGGGGGGGAGACCCCCAAGAGCCGAATTGTGTTTCTTGAGCCTGCCGGCCCACTATGGGCTGACACATATAGGGGAAAGAAATTCGGCGGCGCAGGGGGGCACGGGGTAAACCCCTCCCCAGCGGGTGGGCGGGATCTACACACAGTACCTTTCCCATTGCAACGTCACAGCACACACTGACATCAACTCAACACACACACACACACACTCACTCACTCACTCCCTCCCTCGCTCGCTCACTCACTCACTCACTCACTCACTCACTCACTCAATCACTCACTCACTCACTCACTCACTCACTCACTCACTCACTCACTCACTCACTCACTCACTCTTATTTCGAGACACTTCGCTGTAGGCAATGCAATCTCCAAAGCCGGGTTTGGCGGGGGCGAGTGAAGCCTCACCAATAAGCAGGTTTCCGCAAAAAAACTTATGTTTTTCACGCTTTCCGAGGCCTTGCGCCCACGCGAAAGTGTCAAAAACACAGTGTTTTGCTCATGTCTTGAGCGAAAACCATGCCCAAAACCGAGCTTAGATGAAGATCAGTATAGCCTCACTGTTAAGCAGGTTTCCGCATTTTGCGCCTTCCAGCCGTCAAAAACGTAGAAAAGCACGTAACTTTTAAGTACAGACGTAGTGTGCGGAGCGTGCTCCCGCAGCTCAGGCTGGAAAATCGCAACTTTTTTTAAGTACAGACGTAGTGTGCGGAGCGTGCTCCCGCAGCTCAGGCTGGAAAATCGCAACTTTTAAGTACAAACGTAGTACGCGGAGCGCAGCTCCGGCTGGAGAATCGCAACTTTTAAGTACAAACATAGTACGCGGAGCACACCCCCGCAGCTCCGGCAGCACTTGCGCAGAGCAACTTGCGCAGAGTCACTTGCGCAGAGCAACTTGCGCAGAGCAACTTGCACAGAGCAATTGCACAAAGCACTTGCGCAGAGCAACTTGCACAGACCAACTTGCACAGAGCACATGCGCACAGAGCACATGCGCAAAGCGCTTCAACTTGCACAGACCAACTTGCGCAGAGCACATGCGCAAAGCGCTTGCGCGGAGCAACGGGCGCAGAGCACTTGCGCAGAGCAACTTGCTCAGAGCACTTGCGCAGAGCAACTTGCACAGAGCACTTGCGCGCAGCAGCTTGCAGAGAGCAACTTGCGCGCAGCAGCCTGGAACAATGCAGCTTGCGCAGACCACTTTCGTGAGAAATCGCGCGGCGCAGTTCGAGAGGAAAGTAGGATGATGAGATGGAGCTCTCATGTGACCATACACACTGAGCATCGCCGCGCGCAGACACGCTCGCCGCAGCGATGTAAAAAGGTGTCTCCGCAGCTGGATGAGCGCCTGTGGAAAAATGCTTTCGGGCCAATCGTCCTCTAGTTTTTTTGGCCGGGTGGATACTCCTGGGAACCAAACCCCTGATTTCATATGGGGCTTGATCTTCGGCGGGACCTGGTTTGCACAAGAGACCCGAAGACGTGAGGTTCTTCATGTGGGTGGGCTCAAAATAAAAGGGCTAGCAAACAGCAGGTTTTAGGCCCTTCCATTTGCTTCAAGGCAGTTTGGTACTTCTGTTTTTTTAGCCACAGCCATATGGGACTTGATCTGAGGGCTGGTTTGGAGGTCGGCTTCCAAAGCGGAGCCCCTTGCAAGGAACTCTACCCAGAGGTCCAAGAATGGGCCGATCGATCCCATTCGCCGGCAACGAGCGACGGGAACCAAACGCGAAAACACGTGGACGTTCGGCGCCGGGCATTCGGCAAAAGGCGGGGTTTGGGGAAAAAACGCGCATCCACTCAGACTGCGCATGTCCACCTGTGGGGTATGGTTTTCTTCAGCCGGCCTGGGAGAGGACCCGTTTGGCTCAGTGCCAAAAGACTGTGACTTGAGGGGTTGACCTGCACCGGCCCTAAGATGGACGCACAAACGCCTAAGGCTTCAATTTCAGCATAGCTGCTCCCAGAGGAGTGAAGCCCGGGAAGATCCTGTACTTGGTTTGTGAGTCATGGTAATTAATTGGTGCCGATGAAATTGCGACCTATACCAAGGTTATTTGGCTTGGCCGGCTCCAGCCTAAAGTCTATTAGTGTTAGACATAGACATACCATATTTGTATGTGTTTGCAATTGTTTATGTATATGTATATCTATATATCTTCATTGATATACTGATATATCATAAGCATATGTATGTATATATATATATACATGTATATATTAAGTACTATATATATATATTGATTACTATATATGTATATTGTTATATGTATATTTTATATATATATATATAATAATAATGTATGCGACATTAACTTTGGAGCCAGATGGACGGAGAAAGGAATCAACAGATGGATTTCACCAGGCCTGCGAGGGCGAGCGGGAGCCGCTTCTGCTGGGCGCCAGCCGCGAGCGGCTCGACGAACATCTCGGGCGCATGGGAAGGGGCCCTTCGACCTATCGACCTACCCTACAGTGGATGGACGAAATCCTGCACCACCTAAGAAACCCTGAAATGATGATTCCCCCTTTAAATACCAACGGACACTGGTTTTGCATGGATTCAAAGCGGTGCGCAATGGATTTCGTCCACCCACAGTACCACCAAGTGACATAGAGCCAGGGGGCCCATTTAAAAGGAGAATTGCCTTCCAGGACCCCCCTGTCAGGTTCCATGTTATTGGGCGCCACAATTGATCGGCAAGCTATTGTTGTGGGCCACAGGAACTTGTGAATTCTGATGGTGCTTTCTCAGAGTCCTTTTGAGCGACTCCCTGTTTGGGCCCCATGTTAAGGAGGGGAGCAATGCGGATGGTTTCTTGAATATCAAGAGACCCAAACAAACAACACCTTAAACGACACCATCCATTTGTTGTTTGGCGGGCGAGCGGGCGGGCGGGCGGGCGGGCGGGTTGTGTGTGTGTGTGTGTGACCTTTTTCGCGAGGTTTCTGCCTGCCCTGCAGCCACCACACGCGGCGCAGCAGGCACTGGTGGAGGCGCTTCGCTCGCGTTGGTGTGCGGCGGTGGTGATGGTGGTAGTATCATATGGGTGTGTCGTTTTTTCTGAGGGTGCCTCATGTTTGGTGTTGTTGGGAGGGACACCAGCAGGAACATCTTTTTGTTGGGGAGGGGGGAGGGGGTCCAACACTAAAAAAGGCACACCTGTGTGTGACGTTCAGGTTTCCAAGCTTGAGAGATGGAGCAGAGGTACCTGGCGAGCCACCGCATGTGCAGAGGTACCTTGGCCGTCAAACGTGTGACGTTGCCCCGGTCCATTTGCTTCTCAAGGCCAAAATGCCTGGCTTCCCCTGTGATTTGCCTTGCCAACCAAAGGGAGCTTACCAACAAAAAGGGCACTATGCTGGCTTCCTTTTGCCGAAGCCAACAAAAAGGATAGTTTTTGTTGCTTACCTGGCTGACCCACCATATCTTTCTAATGGAAGAGCATAGCGGTGCCATTTCATAAATTAACAGTATGAGTCAACATGGCCTGCCAGTTTGGCTCAATGTTTTGACTTTTGTCCAAAGAGAAAAGCCTTCCAACCGTCCCGTCCGTCGGGTGCTTGAGGCGGTAAAATGCCGTGCCGTGGCGCGGGTGCAGCGGGCCTTCGAGGTGCGGGGCGGCGTGCTGGCGGACCAGGTGGGCTCCGCCCGGGGCTCGGGAGCTCGGGGCTGGAGCTTTCGTGGGGGCTCGGGGGGAGGGAGGCGGATGGGGTGGGGGAGTGAGTGGGGGTGGGTGGGGAGGTTAGTTTGGTTGAAAATAGCAGGCACTGGTTTAGGGTTTGATTCCATCTGGGGCCATCAATGTTTCAAAAGGACGGCTATGATCGTGGGGCTCTTGGGGGAGTGGGGAGGGGAGTGGGGAGTGGCGGGGAGGTGGTGGGGAGTGGTGGGGCGTGGTGGGGAGTGGTGGGGAGTGGTGCGGAGTGGTGGGGAGTGGTGGTTACCTACCAACACAAAGGGATCCTGGAAAATAATTTTCCCTCAGAAAGGGACCGGTTCCATGTTGGTGGACATGAGGGATTTTGGTTTTACCACAAACCTTTTAAAATGAGCAAACGAGGAAACGGGCAGGTTGTCAAGCACCAGCCAGCTCTTGTGAAGCCATTTCAGGTGTTTGTTTTGCGTGCGTCACGTTTTTATGGGCTACTTTGCGGTTTGTGTTTGTTTTTGGCTTGAATCTTGTGGTACACCTAGGTGGAAAGAACACATCCATGGAGTTTACTTCCACCCATGAGCTACTCACCATGGGTGGAGCTGTCCAATGTCCAAAGGGCTTCTTTCCAAGAGCAGTCTGCCCACAGTTCAACGGGGGCCATTGCTCCCAGGCGCCTGTTGGAGACAGAAAGGCCTTCAGCCATGCAAAGCGCCAGCCAAAGCGCGCTCCAAGAGAAAAGAAGAGAAGAACACTCACAGAAACGGGGGGAGCCATGGGAGCCGTCGAAGGGAGGTTCCCGCGCGAAAGAACGCCGCCCAGCCATCGCGAAATGCCAGGCTTTAGAGCTTTCGTCAGGGTTCTTCGCGGTTTCACGGAGGGGCGGAAATGGAGCGTAAAGCCTCATAGCGGTTGGATCCTTTTGCTATTCTAGTGATAAACAGAGTTTCCACGATCCGCTGTGATCAATTTTTCACCCATTCTTACAGGAAGCCACTCACTCTGATACAAACAATACGATTCTCGTTCGTTTTTATTCTCCTTCTGCTAGATTGGATGGGAAGCCACACGGTTTTCATGGGAAGCCGCCGTTTTTTGGTTCCACCATTCGCTCAGTTTTGCTGATCAACAGATGCGAGCCGAGGGCAAGACGGCGGTGACCCTGGCTCTCGTTGTCTCCGATCGTGGGGAGCTGAAAGGAGACGCGAGGGGAGGGGTCCTGGAGCCTTTTGTGCCAAGGCAACAGCCACCAGGCGCGGAGTTGCAGGTGGTGAGGCCTTGGATGTTGGACAAAGATGTGGCTGTGGTTGTCAAAACCGTTTTTGGGATCCCATTTTGGTTGGTAGGTGAATTCACCACCCATCTTAGAACCTGTTTAGTGGTTGGATTGGGATGTTCACTGGGGGTACGATTTGGGTTTTGACCCATGGCCATGTGGCGGCGAGTTTCAAGACGTTGGAACTGGTCCAAAAGTGGACGTGAATCCCAAGCCGAATTCTGATGGAACCGATCCAACAGTCGGTGGACATGAATCCTGAGACAGGATGTCCACCAAAGGGTCCCTTAATGAATGGTCTTGGAGGTACTGTGGATGGACAAAGTCCATTTCGCACCTCAGGTTCTCGCAGGATTTCGTCCGGGTCCCCTCGTTAAACTCATGGGCCGCCAACTTCCCTCCTGGAGCTATGGGCTCGCCATGGAGCCATCGAGGGTTGGAAGGTTCAGATCGATCCGGTGGACGAAATCCATTTCGCACCACCTAAGAAACGGTGGAATAATGATTCCCCTGTAAGAACCAACAGACACTGGTTTCGGAACCATGGTTTCCAAGCGCTGCGATTTCTGGGTTTCGTCCACCCACAGCTATGGCTTGCCATCGGTCGCCATCGATCGGAGAGTACTCGCAGGCCTCGCGGACATTGGTGCTGGCGCCGGGGCGCTTGCTGCAGCAGTGGCAGCATGAGGCGAGGCCAAGGTCGGTGCGGGGACGCGCCTTGCGTCCGGTTTTCTTCTTTCTGAGGCCAAGGGAGGTGCCGGCCCTTCGTCTGGGTTTTCTTTTCGGATGGGTCGAGGGCTACGTCGGGCCATCCATTTCCCCTTTGCCCTTTGAATGGAGCCTCCCAGAAAGTGGAAATCCAGCGTTTCAAGGGAAGCCGAAGAGCAAGTGTATCAACTTCTGAAGTCAACACGCAATGGTTCACGGATCGTTGGAGGTGAGCTCTGCCATTGTGTACCGCTGGCAGAGCTCCACAAGTCCCTAGGCAGCCTTGTCCTTCGCCAGACCCGCAAAAGAACCCAAAGGAGGGGGAAGAATAGCCCTAGATCTGGCTGTCTCATGCTTTAGGATTGGGTCCTTTCGGGGCCTGCGTGGGACCTCTTTGGACACTTCAAGGATGGTCTTGGGTTGCTGTCCCCGATCAAATCGTCACGAGTCAGCACCTACATGAACAACAGAATGTGGCGCCGCAGATCAAGATATATTAGGGGCGGCTCGCACGTGCGCACTTTGAGGTTGGTCTTAAGATCGCAGTGACGTTGACACGTGCCAAGTGAGCTGGCTCATTCTGCAACTCTGTATAAGTCATCCATGCATTTCGCTCGGCCACAAATGCCTCAGCGGCCGTCTGCCATGAGATGCTGACGAAGGAGCAGTATGCAGATCGCTGCCTTATTATTGTGGCCCAGCACAGCGGTGTCTCTTTCCTTTCTTTTTGGGAGGGGGTTTCCCTTTAGAATCGATGGCACCCTGTGTTCGGTTTGCCTTTGTTAAACATTTTAAAGCAAACACAGTACACACCACGTGTTTTTGTTTTTTCTCCTTTTTTCTCTCGGGTTTCCCTTTTGAAAATCAACCACCCTAAAAAGATTGGCCCCTTTTTTCCCCACAGAAATCTGAGGTGGGCTGTGGCGGGGAGGCGGACGAACTACTTTGCCAGCGGCGCTTGAAGGCGGGGGGACGGCTCGCGCACTTCACTTGCCGAGGCAAGGATGGGAAAAAAGAGACAGACAGCGCCGCTTTTCCCATGCTTATGGGCAGTGTGGCGGGTATATGTGAGGGACAAGCGCGTTAGACTTTAAAACCAATGGTACCATTTTGGGGTAGGTGAATTCACCACCCATTTTAGAACCTATTTTAGTGGTTGGATTGGGAGGGTACGATTTGGGTTTTGACCCATGGCGATATTTATTGTTTATTTCGGGGCATTCTTTGGTCACACCCGCTTGTGGGGGACACCCGGCATACAAGACTCAGACTGAGACCACCCCGGCTCAGTTCCAGCCCATCCAAATTTCTCCGAAGTCACTCCAGGTTTTCCACTTTCGGGTTTCGGTGTTTCGGTCCAGGCGAGATTGACCCGCGGGTCACCGTGGACCGAGCGGCGGACTTGGGGAAGTCGTTCTTCTGGCGGCCCCCGGTCGAAGATGTCGTCTCGACCTTGGGGAAGAAGATCGGCGCGCTGCAGCGGAGGCGAAGGAAAAAAGGGCTCAGTCGTTTTTGTTTTTGGTTCTTCTTCTTTTTTTTGTCTTCTCCGAATTTTGACACGAACATTTATGTTTGGAAGTTCTTGAAGTCAAGATTTGGCTGGGTGTCATTGAATTCAGGATCTCTTTTAGAGAAGGACACCGGACAATGGGTGGACAACTCCAGCTTCGTGTCAAACTTGAGAGTGAACCCCTGGTGTCCTTTTTTGGGGCCCAAGGCGCTATACCAAGACGGGCCCGGATGCAGTGGTACTGCGGGATGACCAGACTGCAGTCCTCTATGATCAAGGACGGGCATGTAGAAACTCATGCCTGGCACAGGGCGACGTAAGTCATTTGGAGGCCAGGAGTTTGGGGAAACCCCGTCGTGTTTCCGCGTCCTACTGGCATTCAGGGATGTTCCTGTCATGTCGCGTCGTGTATGCTCTTAACCCCGGCCCTCGTTACGGGCAAACAGTTCAGCTTGCTGTGTTGGTGTGCGCATGTCCCCGTGTTCCGTTCACTGCCACGCCCCATTTTCTGCTGCAAGCCGAACGCAGACATTGTGGCAGATGCGACTTCAAAGGCACACCGCGCGGAAAGCATTTCATGGGTTGGTTGGTTGAACAGCTGTTTCACCTCGCGTCAGAGCACTTGTTCTCCAGCTGCGTACATCTCAGGGCACGCCTTCGAACAGGAACAGGATGCCGATTGGTTTTTGGGGTCGCAGGTTAAGGTGGGACTGTTTCAAAGTGGCAACCGCCCCTTCTCCCGGGTTTCCGGATTCGACGCACGCCCCAGGAGGGGATTTGACGCACCTGCGTGTCTTCAGCGAGGGCGTCTGCGAGGCGACGATCAATTTTTATTGGAATGCTTTCCAAAATGTTCCAAGCTGATTGACGGAAGAAGCATACATTATTGTATGTTCCAAGTGTTGGTGGAAGTGGCAAATGATTCAATTGATCAAACGTTCCAACTATGCAATGCACAAAAACATGTCCGCCAAAGCGTAGGATGCAACACCTGCCCAGAGCTCACTGATGTCCAGGGTCGTCTTTGGACCGGTGAGTCCAACCACTTTAGCGCCCCAAAGCCCCCTATTGTCCATTGTAGTAGGTTCTCTACCTGGCTTGATTGCCTATATAAACCTTCATCAACGGGTGAAACGGGCGCTCAACCTCAGGTGGAGATGTCGGGGCAGGTCTTACTTTGCCCCGATCTCCAGCTAGCCGAGGAGCTGGATGCCTCTCGCCGTACTTTGGTTTTGCGGGGAAGCCCAAAGGGAAACACACGGACCAAATCCCGACAGAGCTTGCACAACACCCGAATTTGGGTGGTTTTCAAGGGCCAAATGGAGACCCACCCAATCTTTTTGTGCTCCTGATTCCTGTCACTCGACGTGGAAACAGCAGCTCGCATCCTTGAACGAACAAAAATGGCAACCTCGATGTCGATTCAAGGGGTCAACTAACTAGGGTTCGTAAAACAGGGTGTAAAGTACAGCCGGCCCGACGCGTGAGGTGAGTGTGCATGACGAATGCCTCAAGGCGTTCGGCACTTATTCATTTCGCTTCCTTCTCCCCAGCATGGTCATCAATTGTTCTCTACAGATACTGCGGCTCATGACCATCATCTATTTTGAATCCCGGGCGCTAATCAATCCAGACAACTTCTGGTGGAGGCCGGCCGTTACTATTTCAAACTATCTACTGCAAACCAGCCTGATCCTAAGCCACATGTTCACTGTGTTCGTCACTGGCGACGACGGAGCGTCATGGATGCACATTGGTCTTGGAATCCTCTTATCAGGGACTTTCGCTCTCGGGGCGATGTATCTGGAGCCTCGGATATCTCCTATCTACGCGGCCTACTGCGGGGCGGTGGGCTTGTTTCTCAGCCAGCCCTTCCTGCACTGCTACGAAACCATCAAGATCTACCCATCCCGTCGCTTGCTGCCGAGCCTGATGTGGGCCATGTGCTGCCCTTTGGTTGCAGAAAACAATCGTCACAGCTGTGCCAGAAGTGTCGCAATACTTGCCCATAGCACTGGACCACTATTTTTCTCTGAGGTCTCCCTAAATTTCGCGGCCTCAAAGGGAATGTCTGCGAAGATAATGGAAAGTGATCCTTAGGTGTTTGTCCAAGTATGGAATTGTTTTCCTGAACTCATCATTCAAAATGGAGGCTCTGCACAGAGGGGAACAGTTTGCCTGTCATGGTCGAAACTCTCTTTTCGGGGGATGCTTGAAACTCCAATTCTTTCAGGCAGGCTGGTTTTCGTTCAGCACTGGAGGTCTGCTAGGATTTCCTGACCAGCTTTATTTGGACGGTCCCAAGCCCAATCTGCTGCGTTTTGTGGTGCCTTCTACGGCCCTGAAGGGATTCAACCGACTTTGCATCACCTTTTTGGGGTACCAAAGGCAAGCCGGTGGGAACCCGGGGCTAAGTTGTGCGTGTGTTTCTCAACGATGCCCCTAAAAAAGGGTTGTTTCCACTCACCTTCAAATCCAAGCACGCCGTTTGAGGTTTGGTCGCCACTTTCGGTGCCGCCATTTCCAACACGGTCACTGGGGTGGTCTATGGCGCCATGTTGAAGTCGGGCACAATGCCGGTGCGCGCCAGCCTCTTCTTGCCCGTGGCCACAGCAGGGGGCGAGGCACACGTCGGACGGGCGACGTGTCTTTTCGGCGTTGATTGAAATATGGGAAGGGATTGAAACCCAGAGCTCGCTGGTGCTTGGCAGGGTTTTGCAGCTAGAAACCCAATACCTAGTGTTTGGGGCCAGGAACCCCAGATGTTCAGGAAGGGATTCAAGCCACCACTTGGTTGCCCTACGGGACCAAGTTCAGGCATAACCGGCACCCACAAAAAGGCCTAACAAGTGTTGAGGCACGCCCGTATCACCTCGTGTGCCATGACCATTTGTGTCAGTGTTGCTCTTGCGGCTCGTGCGCTCAGCGTCAGCATGCCGTTGCCAAACGTCATGAAATTACCACTTCCTATGCTCTCCCGTTTGAGGGCAAGGTTGAGGTGTTTTCCTTCACTTAGTGAGGGAGCCGTGTTATTGAGACACTCACTTAAAAAAAAAATAAAACAAAAAAAAATCCGAGGAACATGTTTTTGTTGCTCAAGAACATGGCCGAGTTTGATGGAGGAGGTCTCTACTGCTATTGGGTTGGATCTTTAGACTTTAACTTTTTGGATTCCCCTCATATTTCCTTTCAACCAGCAAAAGGTTAAACTGGGGGATCTACAGCGCGTCACGAAAGCCAGTTTGCGAGCAGAAGTCTTTGCTTTGGCAAGCCATTTGGGCAGAGACAGCCTTCCACTGGCAGCTCAAATCGGTCCTACCTTTCCAATCTTCTCGATTCCTCTATCCATGCTGGTCGAGTCTGATTGGGAGACGTGAATGTCTCACTGTGGCCCGATCGCATTGCACCGCATTTTGCGACTTCGGAGATGCAGATCTGACAGTGCGCGTTGGCCTTGGTTCCTTGACGCA